TTTGGCGGCGCTGCGCGCCGCCATTTTCTCGCTATTTAAGAAAAACCACAGGGGGGGCCAAAATGGCCCCCCCATCAGGGCGCGGGTTAACAAAAAATGAGCCTAATCTGACTAAGGACGGCGGTCAGAGCCAAAAATGTGAACAAGCCAAAATGCTAATAGTTTTTACTTCGACCTGACCTGTGACGTCATCGATGACCTCGAGGTCAATGAAATTAGGTTTCGCTCGACAGTTTTTCCGGGGCTATCAGACGCCGTTTGAATTTCGATCGAGAGACCGGAGCACCGGACTCGCGCATAAACACCGTTTCAGCGCCTCAAAAGACTCCCTGCACTGCTCGATGAATACATAGGGCACGTTCTTGCCGAGTCTGCCCCAGCTCGTAAACGGCGGGCAGCTGCATATCGTCATCGGTCGGGTTTTGAGCTGGACCCGGATGTAACCAGCCGAGTTCGTTTCAGCAATCATGCTGGGCACCTCCAGAATCGGCTCTGGTGACTGGGAAACAATCTCGGCCAATTTCTCGGACGAGTGCCGGCCTCCCGTATTCAGCTTTACGACGACCACATACGCGTGCCTGGAGGGCAAGGCCCTAATATCATGGAGAGCACCGTCACATCTATGGGGATGCACACCGCTCGCGGGCCTTTTTACTTGCTTTTTACTTACCGTAGGTAGCGATGTTACGTACGACGCGACTGTTCTCAAGGCAAACCAAATGTATTCGGAGAGCTGAGCAAGTTGCGCCATTATCGTGTCCCGGGTTCTTTGCGTGTCCCCAAATCTTGTCCCCAGTAAAGGGAGCTCCAAATACTTTAGGGACAGTCCCTAGTAATTTTTTAAGATTTCAAAACTTCTAGGGGGGGGCATTCCACGATAGATCGACCAAAGCCGTACACCCTCATATTTTATTTTTTGCTTAAAATTGGTCTAATGGGTTGTTATGGGCGGAGAAGCCAGCTGTGCCAGGGATTTTTTTCTTCGAACACCGGTTTCCGAGATATAGCCTCAGGCAATTCCTGGAGGTCACGCTGCAACCCTATGTTTGGCGGCTTATAACTCAGAAACTATTGGTTTTCAATGATAAAAACTTTATATGGTTGAACTTGCAATCAACCAGCGAACGTTTTGGCTATCTCGGATTTTCGATTTTTGAAAATTTCGATCACGTGACATCTTGATCTTTTTTCGAAGAGTGACCTTGATATTTTCCCAACTGAAAGTCGCAATTTTGTCTGATGACGATTAAAGCCTTATCAATTGTCATTCAGATGCGACAATAAAAAAGTGGCTTTCGGCCTGCATTGACCTGAGATCAGGTCATTTTTATGACCTGTCCATAATTACGAGCGGGAGCGACAGCGAGATCTCGAGACTAAAGCAAGATAGCGACAAGTGGTAAGCGATACAGGATTCACACGGATAAGGTCTACAATTTTTACTGAGGTCATTTTCAGGTCAGGTCAAAGATGACGTCACAGGGGTAAAAAGGAAGTCAAAATAGTTTTGGCTGTACCTTTTGATCTAATAAAGAAAGAGACGTAGAATAGGCACCAATCCGTTTGCTTTCGCCTAGCACCAGTTCGCTTTGAATTTCGATACCGATGACCTGAGTTCAGGTCAATTTCTTGACCACCCCATTATAAGTCAATTGGGGAAAAATCAGCTCCCTTATTTTTACACTAAAACGCATCGGAATTGCCTAATATACCATGAGTGACTCCATATGCGACTAACTTTGACTACCTTGAGACCTTTTTTGCTCTTGGTCAACTGTGACGTTGCTCTTGGGTCATGTGACGTCATTAAAGGTCACCAAATGTTTTTTGCTAATAACTCCTTACAGGTTTGAGATACAGCCGCGCGGATAGGCTCATTGTGTTCAGCTCGTCAAGGCCCATCGAATGATATATATGATGACCTTAAGGTCACGTGACCTAAGGTCAACTTTTGACCTTGACCTTTCGAGGTCAACATACACATGTTTCGATGCGGATCGACGAGAGGATCACAATGGTGCTATTAGTTTGTTCCTAGCTGGGATACTTCGAAAGTTATTCGAGAAAAACTTCATATATATGTAGTGCCGCCATTTAGACTTTCTTTTTACCCCTGTGACGTCATCTTTGACCTGACCTGAAAATGACCGAGTGAAAATTGTAGACCTTATCCATGTGTACCCTGTGCCGTTTACCGCTTGTCGCTATCTTGCTTTGTTCTCGAGATCTCGCTGTCGCTCCCGCTCGTAATAATGGGAAGGTCATAAAAATGGCCTGACCCGAGGTCAACGCAGGCCGAAAGCCACTTTTTTATTATCGCATATGAATGACAATTGATAAGGCTTTAATCGTCATCAGACAAAATTGCGACTTTCAGTTGGGAAAATATCAAGGTCACTCTTCGAAAAAAAAGATCAAGATGTCACGTGATCAAAATTTTCAAAATTCGAAAATCCGAGATAGCCAAAACGTTTGTTGGTTGATTGCGAGTTGAACCATATCAAGTTTTTACCATAGAAAATCAATAGTTTCTGAGTTATAAGCCGCCAAACATAGGGTTGCAGCGTGACCTCCAGGAACTGCCCGAGGCTATATCTCGGAAACCGTTGTTCGAAGAAAAAAAAAATCCTTGCCACAGCTGGGTTCCCCGCCCATCACAACCCCGCAGACCAATTTTAAGCAAAAAATAAAATATGCGGGTGTAAATTTTAAGTTTGTTTGGTCGATCTATCGTGGAATGCCCCAGGGACAATGGGCCTGTTCCAGCGCCTCCAGAAACCTCCAGAAACCTCCAGAAAGCTCTAGAATCCTCCAGAGAGCGTTCCAGCGCCTCCAGAAAGCTCCAGAAAGCTCTCCCCAAAGCTCCAGAAACCTCCAGTAGCCTCCAGAGAGTTGGGAGGTCCAAATTTCTCTGGAGGCTCTGGTCTACAATTATGGCACACATGTGACAATCACGAATGTAAACAAAGAACTTTTGACTGAGAGTTTTACAACTTGAATGTAAAGAAAATTACATTGCTATAATTTTGTTAATCTTTTTTAATAAAATTGAAAACAAATTTTGCGTATCAAGAGAGAACAATTGTCATTCTTTTGGTATCTATGACGCCAACCTCCAGAAATCTCCAGATTGCGTTCCAGCGCCTCCAGTAAAACCTCTGGTAGAGCCTCCAGTCAAGAATTTCTACTGGGCCCAGTTTCACCAAGTGGGGTAATTTCGGCATGGGGTAGATTTCCATTCTGCCCCATGGGGTAAAATCCAGTTTCACCAGCTCAAACTACCCCCATGGGGTAGTTTCGGCGTCTCTTGTGAATGTTTGCTAAGCAAGCAGCATCAGCAAAACAACGGAACGTTTTGATTGGTCGAGAATTTCATTTCACGACGGCGTGAAATGAAGAACACATTTCATTTGGCTTCTTGTATTTGTCTACCAATCACCTTGGTAACGATGGCACAATGGCACCTCAGTTTCCAAGATTCACAACTTTATTGAGAAAGGAATGCAAGCAATGCACAACCGCGAATCTTGATGGATAGGTTACAGAACAATGGCATGTTTTATTATCGAATAGTATCGAATGTTTTAAAATTAATTAGTGTTTTAGTAAATTTGATGTTTATATTAGATGTTTGAATTAGATGTTTTAGATTAGAATAGATGTTTAGTATTTTATAATTAGAATGTTTTAGTAAATTAGTGCATGTTTTACTAGTATCGAATACACCTTGCTTGGTATTTTTGACGACTTTTAACTACGAATCTTTTGCACCAGATGCTTTTATTTCTAATGTGCATTACAAAATACATACAGTACCTACAGATGCACGGCACATTTAACGCAACTTTATTGAGATATGCACAACAGCGACAAAAATAAAAAAATAGATATGGAAAGTATCGAATCCACTTGGCCCGGTATTTTTAACAACTGCTTATTACGAATTACTTGCACCATATGCTTTTTATTTCTAATGAGAATTACCTAGGTATGCACGACATTCTCTTGCTGATTTAGGTACGGCATTTTTATTATGATTTCAGTTGTTAGCGTCTTGACATTTGCTGGATATTTGCACATTGACCGTAAGGCATATAGATACCTCGAATGATAATTTGAATAGATCACACAAGTTGAAGTACTATGATCATTTCAACAAGACACATCGTCAGCATGTAACCACCGTGAAGAATGTGCATTTTTATTGTTTATATTTCAAGGCTTCCTCATCCGGTATTCAAGGTCACTGTCGAAGGAAAACCTTTAATAGTTAAAAAAGTAAAAATCTTGGCATTCAGCTATGGTCGACATCTATAATGCTTCTTTTGGGTGTTGCAATGCAGATCACAAGCATAGGTGGTGCAGGCTAGTGAGGCTATACATGCAGTAAAATATTTGGATGAAACTTGAAGTATATGCTATGAATAATGCATACTCAAACATGACAGGTGATTGGACTTCAATAAAATATGTTCTTATTACTATTTTACTGTCAATTCTTGCTCACAATTCGTTTCATATTCACCGATTACCCCACGAATGTCAGCCGTAATTTTTGTCGGATATTTGGGGTAGAATTGCCGGCAAACAGCTGATTGATTGGCTTGTTCAGATGCTCACGGATCGTGAGCATCTGTTTGCATGGCAAATTTGGGGTAAAATAAGAACTGCCCCATGGGGTAGTTTGGAAGTGGCCAATCAGAACCTACCCCATTTGGTGAAACTGGTTTGGGGTAGTTTCGCCGAAACTACCCCAAACAGAGCTTGGTGAAACTGGGCCCAGGAGGCGCTGGAACAGGCCCAATGTCCCTAGTGTCCTTAGTGCCTAGTGGTGGTGACGCCCATGAATAGTGGCTCTTCGAAAAGTGCTATCCCTTACTTTTATTATAGGGCACTGACACTTTAGATGGCCTTGGCATTGACTTATCATATGTTATGTCTGCTTTTTAAGTAAGCCTAAAGTGCGGCATCAACGGCGCTAGCGCTATGATCAAGATTCTGTTCGGAAATAAAAGTGCCAAGGGTTATTGGGCACAAGTAAATAGAAGGTCATTTTGATTGGCTGGATAGACATTTATCTGCTGCCAGCAGCTGAAAATCGCCTATGTCGATCACACTGAAGGACAAAGTTTTTGTGGTGGAGGGTGGCGTGAGTCGGAACTGTGGCGTTCCCCGGGTATTCCGTGATCATTTTATATTCATCTGTTCCGAGGGTAGGTAAGTCTTAAACCTAATCTAGGCTGTTTCACAAAGGGAAGCCTGACTGATAAGGGAAGGGACTTACCTAGATTTTATAATCCGACAGACATGGGCACGGAATACGGATCCCAGACGACCAAACACGAAAATCAACATGACAACTAGATGAGTGGTCTTTAAGCGTGGAATTATTGTGGAAAACAGGGCCAATAGATGTCTCTAAACGAACCAACTACTTTGAATTCCCTCACAGTTCACAGTTTTGAGAAAATCCCTCAAGAACCATTGGATCCATGATTCATGATCATGGATCCAGGATCTGAGATGGATCTTGAAGGATTTTCTCAAAACTGAAACTCTGAGGGAATGCAAAATTAATGGTTCATTGAGAGGCTTCTGTTAGCCATGTTTTGAACCATAATTTCATGTTTGAAGACTGTCAATTTAATGGCCATCTTGATTTCTGTGATTGGCTGTCTGGGATCCGTACCCATGTGACCATGTCGGCTGTTATAATTCTTATATTTTCTAAACCAAGCTATAGCTTGATGCTGCAAAGCGTGCCAAATGCAAATTTGAGATGTCAGTGTGAACTGTGAAAGCACTTTGTCAAAATGAGGTGCTGGGCAGATTTACTTGGTGGGTTGGGTATTTAGGGGGAGGTTGCCTGATGAGGGTGCGTTTTTGAAGATCGCAACACAAATATGGACTTTTATAATAGTATAATAGTGACACTTTTTCAATAATAGTGTTAACAATTCTTGTAGCTCATAATATTTTGGATGTTGTAGGCTATCATTTTCCCAATTTTTATTATTTATTTTTTGGCAATGCAGTGATGCTCGTTGCTGTGGTTGTGAATTACGTCTGGAGGACCCCCTCTCCCGAACTGCCAGGGGCGTCGCCACGGATTTTTGACTGGGGGGGACGGATTGGCTGACTAAAAACCCAAAAGTTAGTTAGTTTACCGTACAATTTCAGGCCTATGCACTACTTGTAACGCATACACAATACACATGTTCTCATGTTCTCGCGTGGAGGAGTTATTAGTCACACTCTTTTGTACCTGTGCATGAATTGGCGGCGCGAAGCGCCGCGAAAATTGGCAAAACTCTTGGCAAAGCAGTCCCAAAACGCATAAATTTTGCATCCCGCGTAATAAGTTTGATACCAGGACAGTTGGAGTCTGGTCACCAAGTCCAGCAGCCCTGCCTCTAAAAAATCGTGTGGTCCTCTGTAAACCGCTGTCAACCATAGGTACAGCTTTTTTGCCAACTTCTGTGCAGTGTAGCTGCAGGACTGCGGGGTCGGAGTCGACTTCGGTCGTAGTCGACGGTTTTGGTCGGATACGGAGTTGGAGTCACCAAAATCGTAACAGACTTCAACTCTGAAGTCAGAGTCAAGTGTCAACGTCATCCCCGAGGATGGGTCGAGTAAGAGCTGGAGATTCTGTTGGCTGTGGTGATTGTAGGGGTCATGGTAAGACCAATGTAGGGGCATACTGAGCATTACGTCCTCCTGGGCTCTCTCAGACCAGGACGAGGTCCTCTCACCCTCAAGCATCAAGCGTTCAAAGGCCATGGTGACCTTCTGACCTTCTGCTGTCGGATGGCCTCGAACGGGAAGAGGGCCGTTTGAGAGTGAGCTGAAGGTCTTGACTATTACGAATATCCTATGTAAAATGTGTGGTCTCTGCAAGCTGTAGTCCTACTGCACTCTGAGACTTTGGGACAGGTCTTCAGCACTTGTTGGATATGGTCGCCCCTACAACTGGAGCTTTGCGCTCCCTATCGAGGACCTGGGACGGACAGTCCAGAGCTGCACCTCGTAGGCAATGTTATCTTTTAATGTGCCAAGAAACGTTCAAAGAGACAAAAGCATTACATCACATGTTTTTCACTCCGATGCGGGCCGAGGGATGCCGTGGTCGGAGATGGAGTGGGGATTCCGAGCGTTTTTTTTTTTTTTAAGCCGGAGTCGGAGTTACCAAAATCATCTACTCCGCAGCCCTGTAAGCAAGGGTACAGTGTCAGCAATTCGCAGCTTCAATTTGTATACGAGTAGGTATCCGCAAATTCATCCCAAAACGACAATACACCAATGTCGTAGGTCACTTTTTAAATCATTCATGGGGATATTTTTGCGGGGGACGTCCCCCCCGGATTCCTCGACTGGGGGGGACGCGTCCCCCCGTCCCCCCCGGTTTCGACGCCCATGCGAACTGCCACCATTTACTGTGATATGGAGCAGTGAAGCCCCACCATCAGGCCTCAAATAACACTGTGCTGAATGACTGTGCTGCCACATTGTTGTTTAAGAAAATGATGAACAGGACACATCATTGGCATGACATTGGCATCAGGCACTGAATAATGAGCATTTCATTGCAATTGCAGTTTTTCATATCAAAAGCATAGATATCTAAAAGCTGGTAAAAGTTGTAAGTTTTGTTCTGTTTATGCTGGTGCAGATTTCCAGTCTGGATGTGGATGGTGTTTGCTGGTTAGGATTTGCCACCCTGCTATCTAGCTATCTTGTCATATATTGTGTTGCCCTGCTTTACAGTGGGCCAATAATTAGAACAATTATTCTGCATATTTTATTATGCTGATTGCTGATTCCACTTTGATGATGATTGATGTTGCAAGAATAAGATGATAAACTAAGACATGGAGTTAGGAGTGAAATGTAACTGAAGAGTAAGAGTAATGTATCTACCTGTGTTTTTCCAATTGAATTATATTTTTGATTGAAAATTGGAAATTCAGAAAAGGATGATTGGAAATGTGGAACTGTTTCCTTACAGGGACATCAGCATTTCATGTATAGGCAATTATTTTACAGCTAATATTAGCGCCATGTAGCAGGTGTGAAAACTGTTCAGTAATGCCTGCTACCTATGTGTTATGCTGCTGTTTTCAGAATCAAGACCTTGCATACCTAACACTAGCCATGAATTTGGAAATCTGGCCTGGAGATTGGGGTCTGCCATCAATTGATTCCAATTGCTTGGAAGTTCTGGTAAGTAGTGAGCTGGCACCTCCTTTCCCATCTTGTCATCAGTCAAGTCAAAAGCAGTCATCTTCATTCTGGTGGGAAGGGATTCCAGTTTGTGTGTGTAATTGTGTATGTTGGTAGTTAATGCCACAGCACTTAGCTTAGCTTGTGATGCATCAATTTTGCGACCCTCATCAGAGTTCTGGCCCCATGTCACCTAAGGGCAGGGCACCAGGACTAGGTACAATGTAAGTAAGGTATCAGGACCCATGCCTCTAAAATTGTCTGATTGTGCTACAGAGTACCTATTTCAAGAAAGTTTTTAATTGGGTGTTCACTATTCATCAGTTTTTTCTTGTTCATAAAAAATGTGGGCTTCAGTTATTGCTACAAATTAACCTGCACAGTGCACTGGAGCAGTGCTTGGTACTTATACCCGCACTGGGCTGGGGATGTGTTTATTTTAAAGGGACCCTCCCACCTTAACATTAGTTTTGAGTTGAGATAGCCAAGTTTGCGGCCAGGCTCAGAAACCACCATTTATCCTGGTCGCAACCCCCGCAGCTTTATGGTGTTCAAGAAATTTCTTCCCTTTACTTGCAGGGTGGGACCAGCGTGGTCCCTATCTCTTAACCATTACGGGAATCTGATGACGTCATCAGGCTTTCGAACGTCCGTTAAATGTTTGACTAAAACGTTTTGTAGCACGCGGTGGTATATGCTGCTTTGCGCGCAACAAATGCCGCACTTTCAAATAAAGTCGCTAGGAACAGCGGAGATCCCAAAAAGTAAACAAAAGTAAAAGTCTAATATCTTTAAAACCGGTGAATATTTTTCGATGAAATTTGGTAGTTATTCGTTTTTGCTCTTTCTGAACCGAGCGACATCACTTTCATGCCAATTCATTAACTTTTTTGAAGGTGGGAGGGTCCCTTTAAGCACCCCTCCTCCGATCTGACTCGGCTCCTGAGTCACGTAGCGACGCGTGGTAGGCGACGTTCGAAAGAGCGTGAAAATCATGAACGTAGTATTTCAGTCAATCTTGAAATGTCATAGGTCAATTCACTAGAGTCTAGACTAGAGGTCATAAAGGTTACATTTCGCTATCTGATTCCTGTTGTATCCCCTCTGTGTAGACCTATTTGAAGATGTGCGGCGCCGAAGCGGAGCTGACTGCCGCCAACAACCCTCTGCGCTCCCCGAGCGGACATTTTCCCGTGCTGCGCCACGAGCAGGCTGTGATCGGCTCGCTAAATGATATCATACTGCATCTGAAACGCCAGGTGAGGGGTCGGACCGCGGCCGGGGGCTCCGCCGTTGGCCGGTGTCGCTGGGTAGTGGGTGCTGACGGGTTAGGAAGTGTCTGCTGACGGGTAGTGTGTGCTGTCAGACTGGATAGCGTTCCCTGTCAGGATGGGTACCTAGCGTCTCCTAATTGACACAGGTAGTCGTTATTGTCTGCTGTTGGGCTGGGTACTGTGTAGACTGTTTCCTGTCAGGCTGTGTAGTGTTTCCTGTCAGGCTGGGTGGTGTCTGCTGGCTGCTGGCCGGAGTGCCCACACCCCCTGAGCCCACCAGTGGACGCCCTGTGTGTGTGATCTGCAGAACTACAACCCGGATTACGCGCTGTCGGCCCGCCAGTGTGCTGACTCGCTGGCCTTCACCAATCTGCTGCGGGACCGCCTGGAGCCGGCTCTGTGGCTCTGCTGGTACGTGCCGGCCGAAACACCGCGCCGCCGCGCTGTGGGGACGCTTCCTTATCATATGATTTCGTCAAATAATCGCATTGTGCTTATTAATTTGATCGAAACCCATTTGTCAATGTTACTCAATACACTGCATTATGCTTGATCATTTCACCAGATACTGAAATTTTATGAGAACACCTCTACTCTTCAACTGTCTTTATGTTGTCTCAGTTCTGTATTTTTATTTTATTTTTTTTTATTATTCAGGCCTTCCCTCCAACGGGCTCATATACTCCCATTTACAGGAGGGCTCCTCCTCCTCCCGGCCCTTTTTCCCCACCCACCCACCTAGGCTACGGCTGAAGTGGGAGCCTACCCCACACCTGGTGACACAGCCGGGGACGACGCCCGCGGAACGGGCGGAACCGGGAATCGAACCCGAACCCGGCACCGCCCGCACCGCGGGTCGACGCCTTAACCGACTGCGCCACCAGGGCCGCTGTATTTATCGTGTCAGACGCGCTGACTCGCTGGGCGGGGTCCGCCGCAGGTGGGTGGATGCCAAGAACAGCACCGAGCTGACGCGCAAGTGGTACGCGTCACACCTGCGATTCCCGCTCAACTTCTACTACCCCTCTGTGTGGGAGGAGGCGGCGCGGCGACGGCTGGCCGCCGTCTGCGACTTCGATGCCACGCCAGAGGCCGTCGAGGCGTATGTAAGTGGAACCAACACGCGCTGCTGTGCTAGTTTAAGGACCCTCGTCGCTGCATATCGGTGGTAATTAATGACGGTTGGGATCCGACTCGTATGCATTACAAGACAGACTTGGGCCGCAGATTGCTAACGGCTGCCGTCCGGCAGGTGTGTCGCCGCGCCGACGAGTGTTTCTCGTCGCTCTCGGAGCAGCTGGGCGACCGGCACTGGTTCCTGGGCGGCAGCGCGCCCACCTCACTGGACGCGCGGGTGTTCGGCCTGCTGGCGCCTCTGCTGCGCGCGCCACTGCCCAGCCACCGACTGCAGGGCCTGCTCAAGGGATACCCCAACCTGGTCACCTTCGTCGGTCGCGTGCAGCAAAAGTTCTTCGTCAAGGAGCGGGATGGTGAGCCAGCGCATCTTTAAGAGACAAAGTTTATGAAATACCGTTGAATGGTTCGTGATTGTTCTTATGCTTTATTTGGAAGGGTCCAGTTTTTTTGTGTACTTTTTGTAATCTCATTATTCATTAACACAAATTATTATACTTGCTCTCGAATTAGTGCAGTATTTTGGTATCAGTGCTGTGAAATCCCTGCGCCACTGCTGCTGTGTGTGACTCTCTGAGTGCGAAGTGCACCAGAAGGACAGGCGGTTGGGCGCTGAAATGTTTGACCCGTATTGCGTCTGTAACGCGTGTGTGCTGCTGTGTGTGACCCCCAGAGTACGAGGCGCAACAGAAGGACAGACGGTCGGGCGAAGGCGGTGGCTCCCGGGCTGATAACTCGGCAGATGACGCAGAGTTTCCGCACAAGCGGCGTAACCAGGTGCTGGCAGGCCTGGTGGCCGCTGTCGTCATGCTGACCTTCGCGCTCACCAACGGCATTGTCAAGGTGCGGGCTACACATGCTGACGCAGGGTGGGGAGGGAAGCCCCCGCTGGGGCGGTCAGATTGTAAGACATCGACACAGGAGGCGTCCTTACCTGCCTCCGCTGAGCTAAATCGGCTCCTGAGTCACGTAGCGACAAGCTGAAAGCGAGAATGAAACATAATAGCGAATGTCCTTTATTAAATTATAGTCAAAGTCACCAGACATCGCGCTGAAGTCAAATTTTACCGGTTTCGAACTTGAAGGAAAGTTCGCTCCAAGCATGCAAACTAATGAAGCTCTCAAAGCGAGTTGGAAATAGGCGAATCGTCTAAGCGGAACTGTTGTTGTGCTGACGCAATCGGGCTTCTGTTTCAGATCGAGACTCAGGACCAGTCTGAATACGACATGTCGGAAATGGATGCCGACTAGGCGCTCGGACCGGCGGCAGACCCTATAGTTTTGCTCCGTATAGTAGGCAGAGAGCCTGTGAGGCTGTTGTGTATGCTGTGTATAACGGATGCGTGTAGGCCCGGCGGGGTTATTTTGTGAGCTGAAATTGTCGAGTCGGTATCGCTGTGACCTATTTTGATGCTGCTACTGATTTGGTGCCAGGGTGTAGCGCGGATGGCACTGCGCTGGAACTGTGGATTTGCAGTGTCCTTGTTTTGTATGGATTAGCTGGGCCGATCGTGCCGGTCATACGACTCACTAAGTAAACACATGGCTGTGTATTTTGTTGCCAGTTTATGGTCATTGATCGGCAGTGGACAGTAGGCCCAGAGAAGGACTCAAAGAACGCCGTCATTTGCGTCTCCATTCGTTTATCCAGTGCAGTTTGTGTTTACTTAGCATTTGTTAGGGTCCCATTTGTAGGTATTTAAACCGGCCTGGTTTTCGACCGTAAGCGTGTTTATTTTTGGGTAAAGATGCATTTTGTGCCATGCAGCGTTGCAAAATAGGTTGGAGTATACAATAAACCCACTTTTTATCCAAATATGCACCCCTTGTTTGGTGACACATCAGACTGTCTACCCACGACTCACGAGTGACTGCTCTCTTAGATGTGGACATTACCTAAAATGCAACTCTTTGTAACTTGTAACGCAGAAACGCGCTATATAGTGGACTCCTTGTCACGTTCGGTGAGCGTCCGCTATCCGTACGGGAAATGGTACAGTGTCCCCAGCCGTCCACAACAGTAGAGTGTGCCACCCGGCACCCAGCACTCAGCAGTCGGCAGTTGCTGAGGTCGTCAGCAGCTCTCCACAGTTGATAACCCCAAGCACTCCCGTCAGCAGTCTCCAGCGGCAGAGATTGTCAGCAGTCGGCAGCTGGCTGCTGAGGTCGTCAGCAGCTCTCCACAGTTGGTAACCCCAAGCACCCCGGTCAGCAATCTCCAGCGGCAGAGATCGTCAGCAGTCGCCAGCTGGCAGCTGAGGTCGTCAGCAGCTCTCCAAAGTTGATAACCCCAAGCACCCGGCCCGGTCAGCAGTTGCCAGCGGCTGAGGCTGCCACGGAGCTTCTGGTGGAGCTGGGTCGGGAGCAGCGCTTGTACTCTGTAGGGGTAAGCATTCCCCTGCAACAGGTCACACACGTGAATGGGACTTATTAACCCGCGCCCTGCTGGGGGGGGTGTTTGAACACCCCCCCTTGTGGTTTTTCGCGAATATCTCAAAAACTGCGGCGCGGAGCGCCGCCGTTTTTGGTACACCTTATCACACATCAATTCTACACATGTTGTGAAAATTTCAGGCCAAGGTCATTCAAGGTCAGGTCACCAGGTCACTTGAAGTGACCTCACCTCATAAAAAGTTTCAATGTCTGTCATAGCTACACCGAGTGACCGATCGCTTTGAAACTTTCAGCGATTGCTAAGAGCAATAGCATGTACAAAATGTATATCTCAGAATTTTGATATCGATGACCTAAGGTCAGGTCAATTTTGCGGCCTCCCCATTATAAGTCAATGGGAGAAAATTGAAATGCGCCTCTTTTGGACGAAAGACATTATAAACACTCCCAAACACCGCATTACAAGTGGTTTAGACACACTGAACATGAAAATGGTGTCCGTGACCCTTGCTTATGCCCTGAGGTCATCTTAGGTCACGAATGGTATCTAACAGTTTTTCGCAAATAACTTTTGATAGAGGCATGCTAGAGCGATGAAAACGCCTTAGATGTGTTCAGCTCGACGATACGGATCGACTGATATGCAACATGACCCTTTCCGGTCAGGTCATGACCTTGACCTGAGGTCAAATTTTCAAGTTGACCTTTCAAGGTCAAGTTATAGTTCATTCGATGCGTCTTGACGAGAGGAACACGATGCCGGTAAAAGTAAGCTCGTACAGGGCTTGGGTCAAAAGTTATTGCAGAAAAACTGTTTCCGAAAAAATCGGCTATTTTTGCAGTTTTTGCCCCCTGCAGGCAAAACCGTTGACGTTAGGTCAAATCTGAGAGAATTACTCAGAAAGGGCGTTAATAGGGCTATCGAATGCGCTTTTCCGCAGCGCTGTAGCTCTATTGGTTCCCGAGTTATGCGTTGGCTTCTTGGAAATTTTCGCCATTCGTCCTGGAAATCGGCGAAATTTTGCCTTCAATGACCTCTGGTGACCTGACCTTTGACCTGACCAAAAAATTGACCGATGTGATTTCGTCATTATTTTTGGCGCTCTTTCGAACGCCGCCTTCCGCGTATCGCTACGTGGCCCAGGAGCCGAGTTACAAGGGGGGGGGGTGTTCAAACACCCCCCCCCCCCAGCAGGGCGTGGAAATCCAGGACCCCCAGCCGGGCGCGGGTTAATGCATGGCGAGAGCAAAAACGTCATTTATAGTAAGCAAATTAAACAATAATTGAGACGACCAGCTAAAAGCTCACTTCAAGTTTAATTTTGGAGGTCCCACTGGATTCGAGCCTGGGCGCTTAATCAATTCAATAGGTGTGATTTATCGAGGCTTAGTAAAACTAGCATTTCTAAGGCTCTGATACCTTTTGATGACGTCATATGACACTACGACCCCGTTGCTCCTCAGTTTCTGGTAGAGCTGCCAGCACTGGTGCTCGTGTGGCTCGCTGTGCTCGTCCGGCGCGTCCTCTGGTTCCGGTGAGCGCGGCCGCAGCGAACGGCGCAGCTCAGACGGCGCCAGTGTCTGGCAGGCTGGGACCGGGTCGCCAGGAGCGAGCGTCGAGAAGTGGGTGGAGTCCCCACCGCCGGCGGGACACCTGACGGTCGGACGGCCGGGAGGAGTCAGACAGTCTGCAGGGTGAGTACAAACACAAGATGGGAGGCGTGTATGGTATTTAGTATTCACCGTGAAGCACAGGCAGGGAGACATCAAAAACCATAGCGTTGCGTGGTATTAATGGCTGGTTGTGGTACCCTAGAATTTATCAGAGTCCTACCAATGACTTTTGGCAAGTGTCGCCCGTGTACTCGACATATCAGCACCACGGTCGTATGCCAGTACAAAGACGGGGTTGACGTTACATTTAATTTGCTGGTACCGAGGCGTTTAGCACTTGGGGAGCACTGATCGTGTTATCACCAGGCGCTGAGGCCAGTGGTCGGTGCTGATGGACTCACGTGCCGGTGGCTGCCGTCGCCGGGCAGACTGCCGTAGCCGACGGACGCTCCGAGTCAGACACCGGGGCGGGGGTGGAGCGGGGCCCCGGGACTCCAGAGACGTCCCCATTCGCCGGCACCGACGCCGTCCTCTCTGCTGAAACAGACGAAAGCGCAGCCGACAGGTGCTTAAACTGGTCAAAAATATTTCAAATCTAAGTAAATATTTCATTTCAAATCAAAGTAAATATATTTCAATATTTCAAGTAAATATGTTTCATATCAAAGTACTCTTTTTCACAGAGGTACACACTTGAATCTTAGGTATGTGTAGTTAGATAACGTGTGATAACGTCACTCCTAAACCCAGTTGCCACGTCTACAGGGTGTTTCACTAAAAGTGTCAAAAAGTAAATGCCTATTAAAGTTATATAAAGTATGCAAATCACGTGGTTGCGCACGTGGATTTGTTGCAAATTTTTGGACATTTATGCTTTGTCCATTTAATATATATTTTACACGCATACGGAGCGAGGGCAGGAGGCCAAAGTTACTAGTCGTTTTTTTTTCCTTATGCAGAACAAGAACAGGTTATTTACACCGCAACAGGAGGGGTGAATTACAGTTACCTTTGGTGCCATCAGAAACATTGAAACCGTATGCCGACTTTTCAGGAAACGTTTTATTCTCTCACCTCGCTACGCTCCAGATTATAAAAGATTCAAAGGGCTTCTTGATAGGTTTAAAAGGGTTCCTTCGATGCCGGTCGCAGTCCAAAAAAGACGGGGTCCCCCACCTCTCGGCGGAAACCGTTGAAAAGGTCAGGGTCTTTCTGAGGGTCTTTGAAGATAACAAGAAGTTAATTTCAACATCAGAAATAGCCAAGGCCTTACAAGTTATCAAAAACAGCCACTATAATGGCTGTAACCACCAGGAACTGGCTGGATTAGAAGTTCCTGCGACGAAAAATCAGCTGCCTCGCCGCCCGCCCCTGGCCAGCGCAAAGCCCCGATCTGTCACCGCTTTACTTCTGGTTTTGGTCAGTAGCTCTCGCAGAGCTGAGGAAGACTCAAGTCGCATCACTTCGGGAGCTGAAGAGCACCATTCAAGGCTTTGCCGACAGTCTGGACGCTGAAGATGAAAACGGGCTGTGATCGAGGCACCTCCGGACACGTGCCGAAACGGTGTATCAAAAGAAGGGTGGATATGAAGAATAGGTTTGAGTGACGGTGCTATCGTTTTTATATATTCAAATGTCCAACAATTGCGGATGAAATGGTATGCAAATTTCCGTAGAAAACATTGTTATTATGTGCATTATGACCTTTTACTTTTTGACACTTTTAGTGAAACACCCTGTATGTGTCTGCGCGGAACATACCAACGATTTTTTCATTTAAACATCAAAGTACATAACGCCGTGTAGTGGAATTCAAACTATCAAGATGCAACAATCAAGATGCAACAGCTTTATTTCATAACTTGGCATCCAGGAAGTTCCCCTGTTCAAATTTATAAGTTTTCTGAAGTATTTATTCTTCCATTCGAACGGTGATTGTGGGAGCGAGGAACGCTGCCGTGTCGGTACAAGGCCGCAGGTCAATACCAGATAACCAATGTGGCCCCGTTCGTGATGATGGGGATGGGGAGGGGGGTGGCAGTTTAATCGATGGACGCTATCTAAACACTCCACACCGCGGGCGGCCAACTGTCACGGACAGTCGGCACGATTGGAAACGCACGCAATGGCAGCAGAGTCGATCAAATAAAACGGACGAACGGGCAGCGGACATGCTGCTTCGGAGAGGGAAGCGAGAGAATCCGAGGTCAGTTATGGCTCAAGCCGAAGGCAGTCTTTTTACGTAGTAAGTTTCACATGTTGCACGTTTTTATGGCGCAATCTGAAAATGGTTCAAGCCCTGCTCACTGAATAAACATTATAAAGTCATGCGCCGATTTTCAAATAAATATCGAAACCGGGAAATTTTGAGTTCGATGATATGTAGTTATCTGACCTTCGACATGAAAACAATTATCAAAGAACATATCCATATTCGTTATGATTTTTTTACTACCATCCTAATGCCTCTTGCGAGATTCATGAGTCGGGCTTTGGAGGGCTGAAGATTACTCCTTCCAACCCATTACTAGGAGTTTTGCGAGGCCCTCGTCACGGTCAGGGCAAGTACAATTTTCTCTTTTTGTGACGATAAATTGTTTTTAGATGGATTTTTACTTCCGTCAGAAAAAAAACGTGAAACGTTAGTGGCGTAACTGAGCGTGAAAGCTGAACAAACACCTAAGATCTCACCATTCAAATTGCGGCCATTTGTCGCCTTCTTCTGATCGGTGCTGCCATCCGCCGCCGGCTGACCGGCAGTCCCTCCTTCCGCGGCGGTCTTCTGAGCTCCACTCTCCTTGAGAGGTCGTCCGCCAGTCTCTCCAGCCGCGGCCGACTTCAGTGCACCGATTGCCCGCTGAGCGAGCACGGGTCGCCGGAACGCTGAGCGTACCTGGCTGCGGCGCGGACTGACCCGGTTGGCAACCTCTGTGGCTGGCTCGGGGTCTGGGTCGTGGTCTAGGTCATGGTCCGGGTCATGTTCCACGTCACGGTCCGGCTCGGACCCGGCACGGCTCACCTGGGTCACTACATCGCTGGCTCGCCGTGCCGTGCGCCGCCGGCCGGGTTTTGCGGCGCCCAGTGTCACCTTCTTGGTGACGGGAGCAGCTCTTGCGGCCTGGATCGAAGTGGTGTGCGGCTGGGGACCAGCGCTGTCCTGATGACCGGTCGGCTGGTCGGGCCGGGGGGCAGTTTTAGATGCCGGCGCGATGGGTGTGCGGACCACCGAGTTGGGTTGTATCAGACGACACGCGCTGAGTACGGAGCGCTCATCGTCGCTGGCTGCGTCAGTCCGGAGGTCCGGCACGCCCAGGTAGATGTTGACGTTCTTCCGCCGTCCGGACATCAGCAGGCCCCAGCTACTGATCAGTTCGGCTGGACCCTCCGACCGGGCGGTCTCGGCGGCAGGATCAGCTGGAGCCGGTACCGGCGCTAGGGCCGGAGCCGGAGCAGGAGCAGGGGCCGGAGCCGGCGGAACGACAGCCGACTCGAGCGAGCGCCGCCGGCCCGCCTGGATGAGCTGCCGCAGGGCCTGTCGGATCAGCTGCGGGGTGACCTCGACTGCGGTATCTCGCGCGGGGCGCGCTGGTCTCCCCGGCCGGCCGCCGGTCAGAGTAATCTCAGTGTTCACCTGCTGGTCGCGCCGCGGTACCGGCCGGGGCCGCTCGAGGCCGTGCCCGGGCGGCGACCTCCGCACCAGTGTGAGTGTCACCTGTCCCCCGGAGCCGCGCCCGGAGCCGGTGCCGGAGCCGGAGCCGGAGCCGGAGCCGGAGTCGGCGGCATTCTCACCGGGCAGCGGAGGCAGACTGGGTAGCGCCACCTGCAGCCGCTCCATGGGGTCGATCGGACGCGCGCCGCCCGGCCGTCTCGCCCTGCTGGCATAGCGGGGGAGGAGTCAATGATGATATATCGGCATGATGCGATACAGATAGATTCAATAAATAGTCATACAAATAACCATTTATTTCACATGTCAAACAGTCACTAGTAAACAAACATGTCAGGTCATGTATCGTGAGCACTAATTAATTATTTTCACCTTTTGCACTCAATTGTGAAACAGCGTACTAATCGTACAGCAGGGAAGGCTAGTGCGCTCACTTCTGTTCCAATCATGCTTTCTTGTTCGTCCCCAGACCCTAATCATAAACAGGTGATAATCATAACCAGGCCACGTCAATGATTGAGGCGAACCGTGTTTGAAAATGGTAGTACGCATGAATTACGGCTTCTTGATTGTCCCGATAACTCAAAACATCCGAATTGGTTGATGAAGTTTAGAGTCTACATAGGGCTTTGGTCTCATCAATTGAATTAATTAATTCAATCATTTGACCTGATTTTGAAAAACTGAAATTATAACCTTATGTGTAATTGATCACTCTAAATAATAAATTATCACCGGACCGCTACCCTCGATCCCACAAAATACGTGTCAGGTCAAAGCTGGAAAATCACAAAGTCACTGTCCATGTTCGCGAATCGCGGCAGGATTGAATATTTGCATGTTAAATATTTGCAACGCACATTCAAAATAGCCTGGTTACCTCATTGTCCAGCTGTGCCGCCCACTCGTTCGATTGTTCATCTACCGAACACAGAACAGTTGTTTGGCGCGGTATCCTGTCCGCTGTGCTGGCCTCAGGAGTCTCGTGCTGTGCGCCGCTCTGGCCCCGCCACCGGAGAGTGACCCGTCCCAGACCGGTGGCCAGCCTAAAAGGCCCCGACGGCCCGTCGATCGGGCCGGATTTAATTTCCAATCGAAGTTGACTGATGGAAAGCGGCGCTACACGGCCAGGTAATCGGCCGTGCGGCTGGCACCGGTCGGCCCGCCGATGGCCCGGCCGGGTCGGTCCGCGGCAGCTGGACGGGGCCGAGCCAGGCGCTGGCCGCCGACCGATCTCCCCGGTCACCTATCCGGCTAACCAGCGTGCTAAGTGTGGCGTCAGTGTGATCAGCTTCGCCCTCCCCCTCCCATCCAAATCGGGTTTATTTATTAGAGTGACCTCCCTAGTACCAGATGTAATGTCCTGCTGGTTATTTTCAGTTATTAAAAGGCCCACTAACCCTTCAATCGCCCTATATTGGCGTCAGAAGTCGTCGTGTCATGCTGTTTTACGTTACTAACGTTAGTTTGCTGCGCTGGACTCGTGTAGCTGTTTGATCGGGCGACAGGCCTGCTTATGGTGGTGAAATGTAACAAGTTACTTGCACGGTTTTCTGCTGGTGAGCTTATGTTGCGTGGTCGACGGCCATGCTGCCAAATACAGTAGAGTTCATGTTTCTGATGTTCATATAGGGAGGCGGGCGGCAGTGTGGTAAAAGTGACGGTGGCGGTGGCCGGTGACGGTAATTTGTTGGGCTTATGGGGCGGGTTGAGAGCGGGATCACTATGCGCCGATGTAATGGCAAGTATTCTCGCTTATCGTCGCTACGCTCGTCACTCGCTACGTGTGATCCTTCGTCACATGTGACACTCATCGGTGACCACTGATATTCTCAGCTGCATTGCTCGCCTCTTCGCCAACCGTCGGCAATCGATTCTCGTCTTCCGTTACAAATTACACTCGAGTGCGAATTGCAGAAGTCATCTGACACTATGATGCTTCAGACACCGGATTGTCTCACCTTTCTCTGCTCCTGACGTTAGTGCTGAGTAGTGTCCGCTGAGCCGGGTCGGGTGGCCGGTCACACAGACCCGTCGGCTGGCGCGGTCGGTAGCGGTGGCATCACTGACTCGGAAACCTGATGAACTGTGGGACCAGGCCGGACGAGGCCGGACCAGTGTAGTGACACACCAAAGGGCCGGTGCCCACATCGGTGCCGGCCCCTCACTGTGCACAGGGGTGCCGAATTGATCAAACGGTGGCCGCTCCAGTGCGGCTTGTGTGCGGGGGTGGCTCGTCTCCGGCACCGCTCACCAGCTGCTGAGTCACACCATCGACTATCGAGTCACACCGCGAGTTACACTATCGAGTCACACCATCGCCAGTTACTCCGCCGAGTCACACTATCGAGTCACACAATCGCCAGCTACACCGGAAGTCACAACGGTGCGTCATAGCCAAGTCTACTGAATTTGGGAAACAATACGGGGTCACGAGACGTTCCCTGGCATCATCCAGCCGCAGTGGCAACAAGACGATATTCAGACGCACCGAGTTGGGCTGCCGCGGACCGGACCATATGGATACCTAATCGCCAATCGGTTATTTCATCGCCTCCAAGTGCCAGTAGGCTGGAGAACGGCATCCCGCTGTCTGAAGTTTATATATTACTTTTCGTTCATTCTGTGGGGAATTGGCAATGGAATGTTAGCCAGCATCATCAATCATGCTTCTTATCTTTACGAGTCGCGCGTTGCAATTATAGGTACCGTTTGATCTCGCATCAAAACACGAGCCATTGTCTAGTTCTACTGCTTATTTTAGATCGAAAACATCAATATAATGTCGCAACTGATGATAAAGCGTCTTTAAACCACAAATAGCATAAGTACGCGTCACTCGGCTCCATTACCCCACCTCCCGGCTACTTAGGGTAAGGGCGGGTAAGAGTACGCGGGCGATAAGAGTACGCATCAGCTGTTTCGGTTGCTTAGCAACGCGGGTTTGTCGAGTTCATGAAGTGACATGAAGCCGCCAGTGCGTGCTTGTCACCAACGGAACGTGGGCGTTGATCGGCGACGCTGTTGAGTTTAAGGCGATGAATATTATTTTCGAGCGTTATGATATTATTACGGTATGGTACAATAATTTTGATACTTGGCAGTTGAGATAAGGTACGTTTCCGTGATTGTTGTGGGAAACTTGTGAGGTTATCTGGGGAAATACTGTGCAGTGCAATAGGTATTCTGTTTGCGAAGTTTTGCACATGACGTTTCGGGGTTGTTTTGTGCGCGAATTGCGTGTACGGTAAGAGGACGCACTGTTCAGGAGGGTAAGAGTACGCAGAATTATACATTAAATCGTATATACAGAAATATAAAATTATTAATCTATCGCTCAATGACGTTTGTTTTGTAGGTATATCATCAATGGAGCACTGTGATGCAGATGCGTACCCGAAATTCTTCCAAATACGAGTTATTCTCCCTTTTGATTGTGCATTTTTTAAGAAACACACGACATGATTATTTCCTGATTTATAGACTTGAAAGATTTATTTTATGTTTTTCTTTTTGGATACTAGAATTAACTTAAATGCCTTCTGAGTTTGAAGTTAAGCATTTGGACAGTACAAGCTGCATAGGTGTGTGTTCATATGCTTGCGTACTCCACCCGCCTGGCGTGCGTACTCTTACACACCCCGTATGGTAAGAGTACGCAACTGCAGCGGTTCAGAAAATGTCAGTTTTTGACCACTTCCGTTTACGCTGAAGGATCGTTGCCCCATGGGTTGATGGCTAATTCAATTAACTTTAATATCCTCTTGGTTCTTTTTGTATACTGGGGTATACATCGTCTTAAGTCGATCTCTACGGAATTCACTAATGGCTAGGCTATTTCATGGCCATGCGTTGCATTCTTCATGCCATGGTCCGCCACCTGGTGGCTGAATTTATATCCTCAAGTTGAATTTGTTGACGCCTCAGCGCTTCAATCTTCCCGGTATCTCGGCGGTCGCAGCATAGAGGTACGTCTCCTAATTATTTTCCTGTTATTTCTTTTTAAGAGAATGACTCATCGAAAACTGTTGTTTTGCTAACATAACCATTCGTTGTTGATCATTGCTTGCAGGTTTTGTAAACAAAATTGTGTTTTTGGAACTTTTCCAGAAAGAATTAAAGTTCATGTATAGGTACTAAGGTATACAAATGTCCTTGGCCCGAAAAATTTTGAGACGTGCTTAAGAAGTAGCACTACAATTATTCGGAGGAATTGACCTCTGAAAAAATAAATGTACACCCGAGTGACCAACGGGATCCTGCACGACGGAGAAATGTAAACGTCAGTATACAACGGACTGTGCCTAGGACTAGTCATGTATACTGTAGTATACATGGTTGCTGGGTTAGTTAAAGCCATTTTTGTGGCTCACAAACAACATTATGCCTTCAAATGGCTCTGTGGTTGAGCGTTAACATTCTTCGAATCGTTGGCGACCTCAATGACCGTAGATCCTCACTCAAAGTTTGATAAATCGCCCGATGAATTAGAATCCGACCCCTAAGCACAATGACATAGGCAAGCACCTCTCTAAAACACACCATACGGCGAATTTTTTAGAGATGTCGCTTCAGATAATGCTGCAAGGTCTTCCTCTACTGTTTATCGATTCGCAACAGGTGCTACAAGTTCCATATCTTCAAAGGAAATGGCAACTTAAGACCTAAGAGCAGTGGGCAAGGGGCAGAAGAAGCGGAAGTTAAGGGCGAGTGGTGTTGATAATTAAACGTGTCAATACTATTAGCCATTTTACGTCCTAAACAAACGAAAAAATACGCTTTGGTGTTTGTATGGAAGTTTTCATGGATTGCATTTCAGTCAGATTTTATAGGCTTTGAGTATTTTTGTATATCCCAGTATACATGTCACTGCGCATGCGCGATGACCTTCACGGCTGAAATGTCACCAATCTGGTCATTATTGGCACCAAAGCTCTCAGCCAAAAAAGTTTCGTTGCTCTCCATTCATGGGCGAATTGGCGGGACTCAAGAGGATATTCCCTCTTTGCGATTTCTTTCTTTCAAATATTAAACAAATGAGAGCAAGAAATCCACTTAGTGCGTACTCTTATACGACTTCACCCTAAGCCGGAGAACCCGATTCCGTGTTATGCGGTGCAGCATACTTTCAGGCGTATACCACTAGCGCCACCTAGGGACTAGTGTATAAGCTGAACTAGCATCGTGGAAGGCAGAGGTCGCTCGCAACTTGCGTTGCTCCTATTTTATTCACGATCATAGCTGCTTATCACAAGAGCCACACATGATAGATTAACAACAGACATGGCCGTTAAATCACGTTTGTATTGTCACGTCCGCGGTTCAACACTCGTACACGGTACATAAATGTCAAGACAAAGCCACACACATGACTGATTTTATTTAGACTAGCGGCGAGTGGGGTGCAAGCAAATTGTGCTTGTCTGTGGTGGGACTGAGCAAGGGACTCGCAAGTCGCAAGTCAGGTCAAGGCACGCTATACCACAGGTCAAAGCGGCGTGCTCCCGTCTCCGTCGCCATCTCCTCTCCAGTCAGAGGTCAGGTCAGGGCAGTCCGAGACTGCCGTCCGCCGGCAACTGGTCCAGACACGCATGGTGGTGGTTGGGGCACGCCGGCCACACACCGGCCACGTACCGGCTGTACTCACCCACCAGTTCATCATTGGCGTACCGCCAGTGCACGGCGTGCTTCAGACAGTCGTAGCCGTAGCGGTTGCGGGCGTACCGGCCGGGGTTGGCGTGCCCGGGCAGCCAGACGCCGCCCAGCCGCACCAGGGTGGGTCGGCGGCGCAGCTCAGCTGGCAGCTGATCGGTGCTGAAGTGATGCTCGGGTCGCAGCGTGATCAACATTGCCGGGGTATGCACACGCAGCACGGTGGCCAGCCGTGCCTCGGAGTTTGTGGCGTTGGCCGGCACAGGCTCCGTCACCGGCTCCAACACGAGACCGTACCGCCGCAGACGAGACATCCGCGAGCTGACAAGCTCAAAGTCGTCCGCGTTGATGGCGATTTGCGTGTTGATGCCCCAGGGCAGAGGTTCGCCCAGTTTGATGGCAGCTAGTAGGGCGCCCGCCTCCAGTTCGTGTTTGACGCCCGACTCAGCCAGGGCGGCGGTCACCAGCCGGAGAGCACGCTCTAGCTGGTCCTGACAGCACGGCGGCTGGCTGTAGAACCGTGCCGTGCGCAGCGGGTTACACTGAATGGCCACGTCTCGACACCGGAACTTATGCTGCGTGCCGCCGGCCAGTGACAGGGAGCTCAGCTGCCACTTGGTGGCCAGCTGGCGCCAGGCGTCGACGGCGCGCTCCTCGGCGGTGGGCCGGCGCGCCGACTCGTACATGATATCGGGACAGAGCGCCGCCAGTCGCGCGCCGCGCCGCAGTCGCAGGAACCAGTCGTGCACGACCACAGCATCAGGCAACGTGGTGTCCAGCGGCAGATCGCGCAGCGTGGCCGTGCGCGTAGCGAACGACTCGTCCAGGTGGTCGCAGAGCATGCACTCGAGCGCCGAGTGCCGGTAGCCGGCGCTGTAGCTGAGACGGTGTCCGGACATCGTGGTCTGCAGGCAGCCGGCACGCCAGTGACCGGAGCGGTTGCGCGCCGCTCCGCCCACCGCGTCCACCATGGCCAGTCCGCCCAGCACGCGAACGTGCCGCTCCAGAAGCAGTTCGCCGGTAGCATGGCTGAGCTGACGCGCCACCAGCACGTACGGCGTGCTAGCTGCGGCCGCCGCTTTATTCAGCAGCGTTCCGAGCCGCGCGCTGCCGGACAACTCTGCCGGTACCAGTTTCACAGAGGGCTCTCCCCGCGGCAGAAGCGCCCGCAGAGCCCCCGTCTCGGCGGCGGCAGCGGCCACGATCACCGGCAGGCGCGGGTACAGCTGGAGCAGCTGGGTGACGACTCTGGCGGCGTCAGGGGCCGCACTGGAGTCTGTGACGGGCATCAGCACCGAGATGACTGTGTAGAGTGGCGGGGCTTCCTGAGAAGATACGGACACGGCCCAAAACGGTGTATTTATTTAGGATGCGCCGTCCACTGTCATAGAGATCTTTCACTGCAAGCAAAGTGTCACTTGGTGTCGCGTGTTTACCAGGCGAATATGATCGACAAAGTCCATTGTAAAAGTAAAGCCGGACACAATATCACGCTTTCATTGAAGTTTTGCCCACAATATTTTGTCAATGCGAAACGCACCTATCTGTTTGAGCAGCGTTTGAGCAAGCACACTACCCTTTCCGCAAGTACGAATCTCTGTGGCCTGTGTTATTACCTTACACTCCTCCGTAACAAATCCGTTGTTGTGCAGGGGCGCGTCGTCCGCTGCTCCGTGGTACAGTTCCGGACAGACCTCCGGCCGCGCCGACTCCGACTCCGACTCCGACTCCGACTCCGAGTCCTGGTCGAGGCCGAACGTCTTGTCGAGCTCGTCGGGGTCGAGCTGCGCCAGCGCCGCTCGGGCGTCCAGCCGCTGCGCCAGCTCTGTGAGCTGAGACAGCACCGCCGGGTCCGGCTGACGGTTCAGCTCTGCGGCACAGATAATGTGGCATTGATTCAGGGCATGCCAAGTCGACTATACAGTACACAACTATATGCAATGCGTTCATTGCATTGGTTAACGAACATTATCTGGCGGTGCAGCACTCAATTGCGACAAAATACATTTTTTGCCCCAGTATCTCAGCATAAGGTCTGTGATGAGCTGGAGCAGTTGCTCTGGAGTTACTCGGGAGCACTTATATCTCGACAATCACGCATAATGTCTGAGTGACTGACACGGCTCCTACCTGCAGCGGTGGCCAGCTCTGTCCGGATGCGGTCCAGCCGCGCTGCCATCGTCCGGCGCAGCTCCACACTGTCACCACAGAGCACGTGACGGTGCAGGCTGCTCTCGGAGAACAGAGCGGACCGCTCCGGCAGCAGGTCTGTAGGTCAGAGTGGAGACGACAGAGGTGACAACGGTAGCGATCCGCCGTATCTGTGCATCCAGTCAGGGTGGTATTCACCGTTTCCAGCACTCCGATTGGAAATGTATGACAACGTAGATACGGAAGAACTTATTCCAATCCTAACTCTAGATATCGGTACGCAGTACGCACACACTGTAAAACTCCGACTCTCCCTTATTTATTCCATTCTCTCCTACGCCAAACACAGATGCGGGCTTAACAGCACAACAAATAGGTAGGGTTCGATGATCAGTTTTGCAAAGTGGACCAGTTTCCAGATGTCCTCGCGCCGCGGAGTCGGACGGCACCGTCTTACCGTCACCTGAAGGACTGGTGAGCAGAAGGGTGGCCAGCGCACCCAGTACGGCGCTGGCGGCCAGCGGGGAGCCGAGCCGTACCAGCGCGCGCCAACGGGGCATCTCTGATGGCACCACCGACCCGTGTGTACTGCACGGTCGTACCCAGGCGGCGGGGTACAGCCGACATCGAACGGCCCGTGGGAGATTCCCGCGCGGCGGCAATCAATGGGACGACCTGCGCCGGTCCCACGCCCGCACACCGATACCGCTGATCGGGGCAGTAGCCACTGGAGGTGATTTACCATTAGTGTCGGCTGTACGGAACAAACGGGCGATTTACGATTAGTGTCGGCTGGACGGAACAACGGCCACGGAACATCACAATAGAATAGATACATTCACGATCACTACTTTGATCTTTGGAGATGGAGACGTTGCATTGAGGTGAATGTCACATAACGATATGGGGCCCAATAAGATACTTTGCCACGCTGTTGTAGCTGCATTGGACGTCATTCACTGCTGTCGGTACTCGGTTGTCTACCCAGAAACCGATTGGGGAGGGGGGAGGCGGTTATACAATACGTTACAACATATGCATATGTTTGTGCAATTTCATTTTATTCGTAGATAGCATAACAATTAAGCAAACATAACATTGTACGATCCAATGTGGTGAGGTGATTGGTGAATTCATTGAGTTTAAACGATGCGCGATGCATGTACCAACTATCGCGAAGTTTCGAACAATAATAACACAACGTGTTATGTGTGACGGAGAGGACACACATGCTGTCACTTCAGTACCTACTTCACCGAAACGTTTTGTGCAATGTAACAAAGAAGTTTCGTTGAGTAACGCAAAACAAAAGGAAATAGCATTAGTCAAACATCATTGAAATAAAAACCGCATTCAAGTACCAACAAAACAAAACAAATATATCGCGGGATGAAAACACGAACCCAACCGCGAGAGATCTGATAGTACTAATATGCGATAACTGCAAAATGATGATTATATACAATGAGCCAAGCACAACCACCTACACGAACCCACACACAAGTCGATTTCCTAGGGCTTTCGGCTTTGTGATGTATCGACCTCCACAGCCTCTACAGGTCAATGGTGTGATAGTTGGAGATAGTTAGAGTTGGAGATGAATGACAGTCATAAACAATGCATACAATACAATCAATGCGTGCGCATTGTAACAGTATTTGGTATCCGTAATGTTTCATGAGTACGATTATTCATGAGCACGAGGAGCAGCTACGTGATAGTACCGCACCCAACCCAATAAAACAGAATAGACAGGCCTGTGGCCTGTCCAATTTGCACTTAAAAAGTTACCCACGTAAAGCAAACAGGCCAACGGGCCACCCGATTGTACAGGTCAGTCCGTTCGTGTCGGCAGTCTGACAGACTGGCAGCAGTCCAGTCTGTCAGGACCAGTCACTGGTAAGGCAGACTGTCTGAACCAGCAGTCAGCGCTACAGGCAGACTGCCACTCTCCAGGTCAGTCTTCGTTCGCAGAGGGCAGGCCAGTCCGCCCATCCCGCCTCGCCGGACGCTCAGTAGCGGCCGCTGAACATCACATCCACCACCAGGTCCCTGTCCAGGTCCAGGTACCACAGCTGCTCGCCGAGATGGTGCAGCGCGGCGCGGCCCGCCGCTGCCGCCGGCGGCCGCCGCAGCAGTTCCGGACTGGCCTCCAGTCGGTCCAGCGCCGTCAGCAGGTCGCACCCGGCCGTCACCGGCGGCCAGCCGGGCCGGCAGCCCAGCGTCACGTGCGCGCGCCGGCCGCACTCGGTCCGTGCCGGCCGCTTCGAGCCGGAGACGGCCAGAGAGGGCTGGGCGGCGCCCACCTGCCAGCCGGCGGGTGGCGGTCGGGGCCGCTCGGGCCGCGCCGGCGGCGGCGGGCCCGCCTCCCGGTCCGGCTGGTGCCACAGCGCCAGCTGCTCGGCGTCCAGCGTCACCCGGCCGCAGACAGTGCGAGGTGTGATCAGGACGGCTGTCAGGCGCGCCGTGGAGAGGGCGCCCAGCGCGCGCCGCACCTCGGCCCGCTCGCCGTACTGGCGGCCGGCGGCGGCGCGCGCCCGGCCGCCGCAGAAGAACGCCGTGCAGTGGAGCAGCTCGGCAGGCGGCTGGTACAGCGAGCCCAGGTCTGGCGGTCACACAGTGGGACGGTTACCGGCACGGAACACACTACACCGTTTCACATCAGCGCCGATGACAGTGCACACTCAACAACATCACTTACTAATATTGGCCATGCTAGAGCAGGCTGCCAATGACAGGCAACTGGCAACGCATCGCAGTACGACTTTCTGTCGCCCAGCAGGCTACGGGAGGCTCACCCGAGATGCTGTCACTGCCAGTCATCAGGGTCAACTCCTCTCTGAACTGGTCGCTGGCACGGTGCATCGTCTGCAGGAGGCTCCAAACTCGGTCCAGCAGATCGCGACAATCGGCGGCGTTCAGAAACCAGCCATAATACTTTGGTACCGGCTCCTGTATCGACTTCAGCTTCTTCCTGAAACCATGAGAAAACAGGGGTGGTAAGGTCTCGCTTGATAATAACGGTCGAAACCGTGAATAGCATTCTATTCAGAACAGTTCGTCTATGGCTTTCTAGTTTCTAGTATGCACAAAAAGGATAATCTCCAGTGCGTGTAAACGCTTCTGTAATATAGGATGTCGAAACATTAATAGCGAATTATCCTTACCTATCTGCTAAATATCGCATCAGTAAGTCCTACATTTTCCATGACATGCTTTGCACATACCGATGTGTAATATGTTGGTACAAACTAGCGCACTGGTAAGTACGCTTCACCAACACACAGCTGCTTAGGTAGGGTGTGACCGTCTGCCCCGAGTAATTTACGCGGCCTGTCGGCGTACGTCCCCGCCCGTCGCCTCCGGCTGCTGAGCGGTACCTGATCTCCTGTTCGGTGACGCCGTGGCAGTTGGTGATGGCCAGCCGGTGCGGGTCGCGGCGCCAGGCCGTCGCCGGCTCCTGCACCAGCACCAGGTAGTGGTGACGCGCCGCCAGCTTGGCGTACTCGGACCACTCCCAGTAGCGCAGGTTGGTGTTGTCCACGACGATGTGACTGCGCTGCTCCAGACAGGCGTGTTCGGCGCGCTGCTTACACGACTCGTGCGCCGCCGACAGCTGCTCACGATCGAACTGGTAGCTGGCGACAGACAGATAAAACCCGAACACGGTGTATCAACTGACAGCTTATCAGACCTGGAGACACCAAGACGCATTCACAAAAACAGACTTGGAATATCGTGCCTTTACCTGTATCAGCATAGAACGTTCACCAAAACCAGGACCAATGTCATTACCAAAGAAACGTAAAAAAAAATCCGAGAAAGAAACATCGGTAACTAACGAGCACATAAACCACGCAAAGCAGCTGAGAAACAGCTTACCAATAATGCAACATGAAAATAATAACAGCTCTGTTCCCACACCTTTCATAGGTAGTAAATTAAGATGTACTTTACCAGTTTCCTGCCTAGTACCTACTCACCTGCCATCTTTCATGAAGAAGTGATCGGCCGAGCACAGGACGGCGCCCGGGTAGGTGGTCGCTATCTTGTCGGCCAGATAGGTTTTGCCGCAGCCGGGCAGACCGCGCAGTACGAACAACACCTTGGAGGTGCGCAGATAGTCCACCGTCTCTGGGTCGTCCAGGAACGAGTACTGACAGCGGATCAGGGTGCCCAGCTCGGCCGGCAGCCGCCGCTTGGACTCCGTCTGCTCGGAGGCCGGCGGCGGCGGCCGCTTGACCGGCAGCACTTGGCCAGCCGGCTCGGCGGGCTGCACCAGGAGCACACCATTGGGCTGGTGTTCGAGGAGCACAGCCTCGCTGTGGTGCTCCTGCCGCGTGCCGTTTTCGACCTTCTCTCGGATCACCATCTCCTCGTCATCGTGCAGCGCCACGCGGTGCAGGCCGCGAGCGGGCGCGTGCAGCCGGCCGCCGCACTCGTCCTGACCGCGGGCGTCGGCCGCTGCGGGGCCATCCGTCGCACCCCGCCAGTCCGGAGCTAGCCGCGCCAACACCTGACCCATGACCTGCTCCAAGCACCGCGACACCAGGTACAGAGCGACCGTGAGCGAGCCTAGCATTCGGCCGCAGACGACGCCCGACAGCGTCCACCAGACTGTACGGCAGTAGACAGCTCCGTGGCCCAGACTCTCAGATTGAGGGGCACTCTGCAATCTGCCAATGATTAGTCCCAAGGCCCAAGGGCCAAGCTGGAAACAGAAAAAAAAACAATCAGCATCTATAAAACCTATCAACAAGGAAAAACAAGGAATTACAAATGGTTCTGCCAAAATATTCATTTTTATAGCAAGCCAAAAACATAGGTAGGTAACTATGAAAGAAGAAAGCAAATTTACCAAAATATTTAAGACAACTGAAAGCCTTCCCCAAATGGGGCAGCTGGTGGTGTGGCACCACCAAGGGCACACTGAGGCTCAAGGCTTTCAGTGCTGAGGGGCAGGCATGGCCCACACAAGATTCCTTTACTACTCAGGTTGGAGCTCGTGAACGGGGGCTGGGCCCACGTGCCCAGTGCCCTTCCCCCTTTGGCTGCTAGCGTCCCACCACACTTCTTAAAAATTGACATTACATGATTACCAGAAATAAAGAATCAATAGTTATCAATAGGGGTCACACATTATTTGGAATTTGAATTGTTGTTCATCAATGGCCAAATTAGTGATGTGTTCTTAGTTCTTAAGAGGTACCTACCTATAAAAAAGGCTGTCATCTCTCAACTAAAAGGCCCCTCGTCGCTTGAGGAGCCCTTGGTAACCTATGAAACCCCTGCTACCCTGAGGGGTCTGGGGTCCCTAGGGGTGTTCACGGGCACCGCACACTGCTGCGTGCGGTGTGTGCGGTACGTCCAGCAGGCGTGGGGGTAGGGGATGGGTAGGCGACTCTGACGTCACGGCTGCGTGCGGTGGACGGTCCGCTGTGGCCAGTCCCGACCAGCCACAGCGATCGCTGTGTGCGGTGACGGAATGCTGACGTAGGGACGCAGTGGGCGGAGCTTGGAGGCTGTGTGCGGTCCGACCGCACACAGGGCCGTTGAACAGCCCTCCTGTTACCTTAGGGCAAGGCCCTATCCTTAGGGGAACCTACTGACTGCAGACTGCTCACCCTGGTTCCAAGGTCCAGTTATTTTCAAAAATAAATTTGAAATAATTTTTTTTTCATTTAGCTATAATGCAATCATCAAAATGACTTATTTCAGATCACTTTTTAATGACTGAAAAAAGCTTCTTCATTCAGATTCCATGAAAGGGAGGAATATCATCAACACGCAAAACGTCAAATACTTGCAAAAAAACACAATTTTTATTAATTTTACGTACCGTAACGGCCAGCAGACCTCAAGTAATGCACGATATAATGGTAAGCAATCTATAGGTATTTGTCCCATAAATTATGTTGAAATTATACTAAAACGCTGCAAAATTTAGACGGAAAGTTGTAAGTGATATGTTCCCTCTTAGTAGCCTTTACATGTTAGATAAGTAGTTTTTAGGTACCTAGGTTGTAAGGTCATTTATTTAAGCTCATGAGGTAGAATTAAGTCAGGTTATATTAGTTTTTGGTCCTAAAGAGGCATGAATTCAAGAGTTATATCTTTGCATAAAAGTTCACTGCGTTTTTGGTACTACAATTATGCCGCACTACATACGTTTCTGGCGCAAACATTGACCCCGCGTTCGATGTCTCTCGGACGACGAAGATTCTACGTCGTCCGGCCAATCCCGTCCAAGGTCAGCGGGGGCTCGGCTGCGGTTATAGAACGTGATTGGCCGGACGGCGTAGAATCTTCGCCGTCCGAGAGACATCGAACGCGGGGTAAAGCCGCGTGGGTTGTTGGGGTTGGATGTAACGGAAGTTAGCCCACATTCAGCCCACATTCGGCCCAGCCCAGATTGGGGCTGCCAAATCTAGGGAAAAATATAGAAATCTAGGGAAAAATCTAGAAATCTAGCGAAAAATCTAAAAACCGTTTTACGCCTAAACGGCTGGACGAAACTGAAAAATAAGACGACCATTTGAAAGATCTCTTCACCCCGGACCTAATGATATGGTTAAATACCGGATCAATTTAACCAAAAGCATGATTTAACCAGGATGAAAATTTTCGGTCAATGGGGCGGCCCCTACGATTTTCTTCAAAATCGGCATGGTGATACTACAGGCCCAGATGACCAATCTGGCTGAAGAAACCCCTATGGGCATTGAAATCTATGGGGTAAAAACGCCCTTGGAAAGTTTTACCTACGCATTTCTGGCAAGACTATCGCACGCATCCCCCTAATATGGGTATCATATGAAAGCTCATGAAAACCCAAACAAAATGGTGGGGTAAAATTTACCCATTACCCCATCCAGGGTAAAGTTTACCCAAGATGAAAATTTTCGGTCAATGGGGCGGCCCCTACGATTTTCTTCAAAATCGGCATGGTGATACTACAGGCCCAGATGACCAATCTGGCTGAAGAAACCCCTATGGGCATTGAAATCTATGGGGTAAAAACGCCCTTGGAAAGTTTTACCCACGCATTTCTGGCAAGACTATCGCACGCATCCCCCCAATATGGGTATCATATGAAAGCCCATAAAACCCAAACAAAATGGTGGGGTAAAATTTACCCATTACCCCATCCAGGGTAAAGTTTACCCAAGATGAAAATTTTCGGTCAATGGGGCGGCCCCTACGATTTTCTTCAAAATCGGCATGGTGATACTACAGGCCCAGATGACCAATCTGGCTGAAGAAACCCCTATGGGCATTAAAATCTATGGGGTAAAAACGCCCTTGGAAAGTTTTACCCACGCATTTCTGGCAAGACTATCGCACGCATCCCCCCAATATGGGTATCATATGAAAGCTCATGAAAACCCAAACAAAATGGTGGGGTAAAATTTACCCATTACCCCATCCAGGGTAAAGTTTACCCAAGATGAAAATTTTCGGTCAATGGGGCGGCCCCTACGATTTTCTTCAAAATCGGCATGGTGATACTACAGGCCCAGATGACCAATCTGGCTGAAGAAACCCCTATGGGCATTGAAATCTATGGGGTAAAAACGCCCTTGGAAAGTTTTACCCACGCATTTCTGGCAAGAATATCGCACGCATCCCCCTAATATGGGTATCATATGAAAGCTCATGAAAACCCAAACAAAATGGTGGGGTAAAATTTACCCATTACCCCATCCAGGGTAAAGTTTACCCAAGATGAAAATTTTCGGTCAATGGGGCGGCCCCTACGATTTTCTTCAAAATCGGCATGGTGGTACTACAGGCCCAGATGATCAATCTGGCTGAAGAAACCCCTATGGGCATTGAAATCTATGGGGTAAAAACGCCCTTGGAAAGTTTTACCCACGCATTTCTGGCAAGACTATCGCACGCATCCCCCCAATATGGGTATCATATGAAAGCTCATGAAAACCCAAACAAAATGGTGGGGTAAAATTTACCCATTACCCCATCCAGGGTAAAGTTTACCCAAGATGAAAATTTTCGGTCAATGGGGCGGCCCCTACGATTTTCTTCAAAATCGGCATGGTGATACTACAGGCCCAGATGACCAATCTGGCTGAAGAAACCCCTATGGGCATTGAAATCTATGGGGTAAAAACGCCCTTGGAAAGTTTTACCCACGCATTTCTGGCAAGACTATCGCACGCATCCCCCAAATATGGGTATCATATGAAAGCCCATAAAAACCCAAACAAAATGGTGGGGTAAAATTTACCCATTACCCCATCCAGGGTAAAGTTTACCCAAGATGAAAATTTTCGGTCAATGGGGCGGCCCCTACGATTTTCTTCAAAATCGGCATGGTGGTACTACAGGCCCAGATGATCAATCTGGCTGAAGAAACCCCTATGGGCATTGAAATCTATGGGGTAAAAACGCCCTTGGAAAGTTTTACCCACGCATTTCTGGCAAGACTATCGCACGCATCCCCCCAATATGGGTATCATATGAAAGCTCATGAAAACCCAAACAAAATGGTGGGGTAAAATTTACCCATTACCCCATCCAGGGTAAAGTTTACCCAAGATGAAAATTTTCGGTCAATGGGGCGGCCCCTACGATTTTCTTCAAAATCGGCATGGTGATACTACAGGCCCGGATGACCAATCTGGCTGAAGAAACCCCTATGGGCATTGAAATCTATGGGGTAAAAACGCCCTTGGAAAGTTTTACCCACGCATTTCTGGCAAGACTATCGCACGCATCCCCCCAATATGGGTATCATATGAAAGCCCATAAAAACCCAAACAAAATGGTGGGGTAAAATTTACCCATTACCCCATCCAGGGTAAAGTTTACCCAAGATGAAAATTTTCGGTCAATGGGGCGGCCCCTACGATTTTCTTCAAAATCGGCATGGTGATACTACAGGCCCAGATGACCAATCTGGCTGAAGAAACCCCTATGGGCATTGAAATCTATGGGGTAAAAACGCCCTTGGAAAGTTTTACCCACGCATTTCTGGCAAGACTATCGCACGCATCCCCCCAATATGGGTATCATATGAAAGCCCATAAAAACCCAAACAAAATGGTGGGGTAAAATTTACCCATTACCCCATCCAGGGTAAAGTTAACCCCATCATTTTGTTTGGGTTTTCATGAGCTTTCATATGATACCCATATTGGGGGGATGCGTGCGATAGTCTTGCCAGAAATGCGTGGGTAAAACTTTCCAAGGGCGTTTTTACCCCATAGATTTCAATGCCCATAGGGAATTCTTCAGCCAGATTGGTCATCTGGGCCTGTAGTATCACCATGCCGATTTTGAAGAAAATCGTATTGACCGAAAATTTTCATCTTGGGTAAACTTTACCCTGGATGGGGTAATGGGTAAATTTTACCCCACCATTTTTGTTTGGGTTTTCATGAGCTTTCATATGATACCCATATTAGGGGGATGCGTGCGATATTCTTGCCAGAAATGCGTGGGTAAAACTTTCCAAGGGCGTTTTTACCCCATAGATTTCAATGCCCATAGGGGTTTCTTCAGCCAGATTGGTCATCTGGGCCTGTAGTATCACCATGCCGATTTTGAAGAAAATCGTAGGGGCCGCCCCATTGACTAAAAATTTTCATCTTGGGTAAACTTTACCCTGGATGGGGTAATGGGTAAATTTTACCCCACCATTTTGTTTGGGTTTTCATGAGCTTTCATATGATACCCATATTGGGGGGATGCGTGCGATAGTCTTGCCAGAAATGCGTGGGTAAAACTTTCCAAGGGCGTTTTTACCCCATAGAATTCAATGCCCATAGGGGTTTCTTCAGCCAGATTGGTCATCTGGGCCTGTAGTATCACCATGCCGATTTTGAAGAAAATCGTAGGGGCCGCCCCATTGACCGAAAATTTTCATCTTGGGTAAACTTTAACCTGGATGGGGTAATGGGTAAATTTTACCCCACCATTTTGTTTGGGTTTTTATGGGCTTTCATATGATACCCATATTGGGGGATGCGTGCGATAGTCTTGCCAGAAATGCGTGGGTAAAACTTTCCAAGGGCGTTTTTACCCCATAGATTTCAATGCCCATAGGGGTTTCTTCAGCCAGATTGGTCATCTGGGCCTGTAGTATCACCATGCCGATTTTGAAGAAAATCGTAGGGGCCGCCCCATTGACCGAAAATTTTCATCTTGGGTAAACTTTACCCTGGATGGGGTAATGGGTAAATTTTACCCCACCATTTTGTTTGGGTTTTCATGAGCTTTCATATGATACCCATATTGGGGGGATGCGTGCGATAGTCTTGCCAGAAATGCGTGGGTAAAACTTTCCAAGGGCGTTTTTACCCCATAGATTTCAATGCCCATAGGGGTTTCTTCAGCCAGATTGGTCATCTGGGCCTGTAGTATCACCATGCCGATTTTGAAGAAAATCGTAGGGGCCGCCCCATTGACCGAAAATTTTCATCTTGGGTAAACTTTACCCTGGATGGGGTAATGGGTAAATTTTACCCCACCATTTTGTTTGGGTTTTCATGAGCTTTCATATGATACCCATATTAAGGGGATGCGTGCGATAGTCTTGCCAGAAATGCGTGGGTAAAACTTTCCAAGGGCGTTTTTACCCCATAGATTTCAATGCCCATAGGGGTTTCTTCAGCCAGATTGGTCATCTGGGCCTGTAGTATCACCATGCCGATTTTGAAGAAAATCGTAGGGGCCGCCCCATTGACCGAAAATTTTCATCTTGGGTAAACTTTACCCTGGATGGGGTAATGGGTAAATTTTTTTCATGAGCTTTCATATGATACCCATATTGGGGGGATGCGTGCTATAGTCTTGCCAGAAATGCGTGGGTAAAACTTTCCAAGGGCGTTTTTACCCCATAGATTTCAATGCCCATAGGGGTTTCTTCAGCCAGATTGGTCATCTGGGCCTGTAGTATCACCATGCCGATTTTGAAGAAAATCGTAGGGGCCGCCCCATTGACCGAAAAATTTCATCTTGGGTAAACTTTAACCTGGATGGGGTAATGGGTAAATTTTACCCCACCATTTTGTTTGGGTTTTTATGGGCTTTCATATGATACCCATATTGGGGGGATGCGTGCGATAGTCTTGCCAGAAATGCGTGGGTAAAACTTTCCAAGGGCGTTTTTACCCCATAGATTTCAATGCCCATAGGGGTTTCTTCAGCCAGATTGGTCATCTGGGCCTGTAGTATCACCATGCCGATTTTGAAGAAAATCGTAGGGGCCGCCCCATTGACCGAAAATTTTCATCTTGGGTAAACTTTACCCTGGATGGGGTAATGGGTAAATTTTACCCCACCATTTTGTTTGGGTTTTCATGAGCTTTCATATGATACCCATATTGGGGGGATGCGTGCGATAGTCTTGCCAGAAATGCGTGGGTAAAACTTTCCAAGGGCGTTTTTACCCCATAGATTTCAATGCCCATAGGGGTTTCTTCAGCCAGATTGGTCATCTGGGCCTGTAGTATCACCATGCCGATTTTGAAGAAAATCGTAGGGGCCGCCCCATTGACCGAAAATTTTCATCTTGGGTAAACTTTACCCTGGATGGGGTAATGGGTAAATTTTACCCCACCATTTTGTTTGGGTTTTCATGAGCTTTCATATGATACCCATATTAAGGGGATGCGTGCGATAGTCTTGCCAGAAATGCGTGGGTAAAACTTTCCAAGGGCGTTTTTACCCCATAGATTTCAATGCCCATAGGGGTTTCTTCAGCCAGATTGGTCATCTGGGCCTGTAGTATCACCATGCCGATTTTGAAGAAAATCGTAGGGGCCGCCCCATTGACCGAAAATTTTCATCTTGGGTAAACTTTACCCTGGATTGGTAAATTTTACCCCACCATTTTGTTTGGGTTTTATGGGCTTTCATATGATACCCATATTGGGGGGATGCGTGCTATAGTCTTGCCAGAAATGCGTGGGTAAAACTTTCCAAGGGCGTTTTTACCCCATAGATTTCAATGCCCATAGGGGTTTCTTCAGCCAGATTGGTCATTAGAGTGTATCGATAACCGAAATTTGCAAGGAAACTGGCATATTATTTGGCGCAAGGACATAAAAATAATATCTGTGCGCAACATTTTCCTCAAAACTCAAAATTGACTGACCCGGAACGGTTTTTGTAAACCCCATTCCAACTCCTGCGGACGTAGGATGAAGCTTTAGTTCTCCCCTTTTGACGCTAGATGGCAGTGATTCCAGACTGTCTCTAACTTAATTTCAGACATCTGTAAACGTAAAAAAAGCCATTCGGATTAAATTATGCACATTTTTTTACATCATTGGTGTTGGTATATTGCTGTTTTTTCCATTGCAAGTGTTTTTCCATTGCAAACGCATAGCTTTCCACACATTATCACACATAACACAATACACATTACCTATGCATTAGCGCCCTGAGCTCTTAAACACGAACAAGTAAATAGCAGATTAGGCAACTATTAGCAACTGAGCTCCTGCCGCATCGTACTTTAAGGACTACATATAGCCGGTACAATTGTGTTACCAGCGACCAAATGTCAAAGTGGACACTGGTCAGGTCACTCGGTAACTGGTGACTGGTGAGCCAGTTTGCTTTCTGTCGTATATTACGACTAATTCACCATCATCCTTGCTTGCACTTCTCCGTGTTCCGGATTAACGGTCCGCCTAGCAGACAACTGATGGAAGTCAGCTTCGGAGTGACCATTTCAACAAATGTATGCTCTAGTCTGTCCCGTTGTGACTTGCCGTCAAAACAGTATGTCCCGGCGCTGAAATGCCGTCCCAGCGGTACAGCGGACTAGTCGTCAGTGGTTGATTGAACCGATTGAGCCTTGGTTGATTGAACATTACATTGCCCTCTCCCTCTCGTGTTTTATCATCCCAGCATAGCCTGACTCAGAGCATTGCAGCCATTATGGTGTCTTTTGACTGAGACGCTGCGGCACACAGCCGGTGCCCGATGGTCGACTTTATTCTGATATTGCCCTCTCCCCGCTAATTCATTTATTCATCATACCACGGCCCTAAAATGTTCTCGAATAGACTAACCTATAGGCTCTAACCAAGCATAACGAACAAACCCACTTAGCAGTCTCCGAACGTCTGCTGTTAAAATTAGTAGCCAGTAGGTGAAACCGAAACCGACGAGTGGCCACGTCAAGCGGTCCCTCAGTGCCCCAAAGGTGGTCACTTTCGGGGTAGAACTTGTCACAACTCAGCCTATCCTACCGGACTGCCGTGGGCTCCTCTCTTACCGCGCGGCGAAGACGGTGAATATTGTGCGTTGGTAGTATTACATACAGCTCGCATCCCAAATAAATAGTTACTGCCGGCGAAGGCCCAACCATTCACCGTACTATGGTGCAGGTCCGGTGACTTTCCCGCCGCCCGTGTCACCGCGACCAACGGCGGCGACAGTGCCGTCACCGGTCCCCTCGAGACCCGGCGATGCCGTCTGTATTTGTTTGTCTGTTTGTTTTGTTGGGTTAGGCTCTTTCGGTCCGACAAGACCATTTCAGAGCCGGAAGGATGATAGGAATTAGGGGGTGACATTGGTCTGGGCAGGCACCCTAGTGAGTCGCCGGGGCTGAGCCCGTCCAGAGGACAGGCCACCCATCCCCAAAGTACTCACTGCACCCGGCTACGGGGTGCGCTCCCTCGGGAGCCGCGGTGCCGCTCCAAGGGAGCAGCCCGCATGAGATAAAGTTGCCTGTCCAGCCCGGAGGGGGTTTCGGCGTGGAGGAGAAGGATTTCAGTATCCTGAGGATGGAAGCACGGAACGGGTGCCGTCTGTACCGGAACAGCGCACTATCTGTACCCGAACAGGTGCGTCTATGTAGGTGGAATAGGCATACTACCAAACTGAACTGCCGCATGCGAGAGACGGCTACAGTCAACCAGGACTCGTGAGTCTGCGGTGTTTTAATACAGGATCACATGCAAGAGCCCGGTCACCGGCACAGATTGACTGTCAACCAGTCCGTGATATGACCCCTGCTGTAGCTAGCTCACGTTCGGGCCCTGCTCGGCGCACTTGCCGAGGCCAATGACGAGACCGACTTTTACGTCGGTCCTTCTCCGCCGCGCCAACCGAGTTAATAAAATACCTTTCACCATTGCTTTCATACATAATCCAGAATCCTATTATTTGACTCATGTGCCGAAGCAATGGCCATTTGTGACCCAGACAAACATACAGTGATCATAGAACAGGAGACATGAGAACAGCACGAAAACATAGCGTAGGAGAAAAGTGCATAGATGCGGTTTGATACTGTTAATGATAATGATACAGATATGGGCATTCAAAGTCCATTCAAGCCTTCCAACGCATGTAACGCTCTCCTATACACACCAAGGTATAAGATAGGTTTCGATCTGCCCCAGACAGAACAGGGCCTAGGCCGAGAGCCGAGAGCAAAACTAGGGCAAAATAGGCACATGTGTAGCTAAAACTCCACACTCCCTGTATGTTTTGTTATTTTATACTATGAAATATGTCAAAGGAACCTCTAACTGTCATTTGAAGTTGTTAAACTAGACGTCTGAAACAAATTATTATGGGCAATTAAGGAAAACAAACGCTATTAAGTGAGTAAGATCAGCATCAGACACCACAAACTGTGTTAAAACGCCATGCCGACGCTAGCGCCACCTACAATTCTAGATGTCGCTAGTAGGTTATCCCATAGGAGCCCGTGTTACGGCGAGATGGTCTTAAAGAAGTGGGCGCGGACCAGAGAATACTGACCGCAGGACACCGATTTTGTGTTTTTCTTACTTACAAATGTATAGCGCCACTTTATCTGACAGTTTCCTCTCAATCTGGAATAAAAACCCTCAAATCGATACACTCTATTGGTCATCTGGGCCTGTAGTATCACCATGCCGATTTTGAAGAAAATCGTAGGGGCCGCCCCATTGACCGAAAATTTTCATCTTGGGTAAACTTTACCCTGGATGGGGTAATGGGTAAATTTTACCCCACCATTTTGTTTGGGTTTTCATGAGCTTTCATATGATACCCATATTGGGGGGATGCGTGCTATAGTCTTGCCAGAAATGCGTGGGTAAAACTTTCCAAGGGCGTTTTTACCCCATAGATTTCAATGCCCATAGGGGTTTCTTCAGCCAGATTGGTCATCTGGGCCTGTAGTATCACCATGCCGATTTTGAAGAAAATCGTAGGGGCCGCCCCATTGACCGAAAATTTTCATCTTGGGTAAACTTTACCCTGGATGGGGTAATGGGTAAATTTTACCCCACCATTTTGTTTGGGTTTTTATGGGCTTTCATATGATACCCATATTGGGGGGATGCGTGCGATAGTCTTGCCAGAAATGCGTGGGTAAAACTTTCCAAGGGCGTTTTTACCCCATAGATTTCAATGCCCATAGGGGTTTCTTCAGCCAGATTGGTCATCTGGGCCTGTAGTATCACCATGCCGATTTTGAAGAAAATCGTAGGGGCCGCCCCATTGACCGAAAATTTTCATCCTGGTTAAATCATGCTTTTGGTTAAATTGATCCGGTATTTAACCATATCATTAGGTCCGGGGTGAAGAGATCTTTCAAATGGTGGTCTTATTTTTCAGTTTCGCTCAGCCGTTTAGGCGTAAAACGGTTTTTAGATTTTTCCCTAGATTTTTAGATTTTTCCCTAGATTTGGCAGCCCCAATCTGGGCTGGGCCGAATGTGGGCTGAATGTGGGCTAACTTCCGTTACATTGGGGTTGGTTGGGTTGGGGTTTGTGGTGTTGTCTATAGATGGCCTTGGGTGTTGTGGTGTCAGTATAGAACTCGCCATTATATCGAAAATAATAATCGATTTAAGCATTTTTATATCAATTTCCATGTAATTTGAAAGGGAGAAGTATATTCAGACCTTAGAAAATATTTATTTTGATTGTTAAAAAGTCATGTATTGTCACCTTGCCTGTTACCAGTGTAGGCTCTATCATGGTATAGGTAGGTAGGTAGTAGGTACGGGTACCTCATATTTTTTTAATAAATAGGAACAAATATTTTGTGTGCATGCAAAACAACAGCTTCCAAAATCAAGCGAGACATGTATTAGCCTCGTAAGCCGGAGAGCCTTTGTCCATGTAAAAGCTGCTTTGAGAAAATCGCAAAGTAAGCATGTCATTATGGGTATTGTGAGTTATGTATTCATTATTTTTTGTCTGGTGTAGGATAATTAAATTGTTTCTAGTTTAAGTTTCAGTGTTACAATACATAAATATATGCTACAAGCATAAGCGTAGGAACAATGGGTGCAAGGGTGCAGCTGCACCCACAATATATATCCAGTGGGTGCAGACAATGTATTCTGCACCCACAATAATCTGAACCAAAAACCCCTTTTTCATCAACACTACTTCCCATGCAGCATGGCAAATTCAGGATATGTTGCCTACTATTCATCTTTCGAAGCATTTGCTACTGTGATCAGTGATGGTCTTCAAAACTTACATTTGTGCTGAAAAAGGGAAATGGAGCATGTGATTGAACACATACCGAACCGATGACCCACTGTCAAAAATGTTAGCCCGATATCTTCGAAAATGGCTAAGTTGGCCGCTTTTACTTTTTGCGGTAGTCAATATTGACAATATTAGCCCTCGAATGTGTGCAGCGTTTTCCAGCTTCTAATGTGTAGGGGGAGGGGGAGGGGGTCGGTCGGACCCCCTGCCGTTCGGCTCCTGATCGAGCTAGAGCCCCGCGGAAAAAAAACGAGGGTGTTGCCCGTGACGAGAGGAAGCTGATGATACCCAATTTTAAGGTCTTACTTCATTGGTTGACCTTCCAGACCAGGTCAGGTCAATATTCCAAAAGTCGGGAAAATGGGGACCTGCTAGAACTGCGTAAAGTGAAGCTGTTATCGGTTTTTTTCGGGGTGCTGATCACAAATATCTGATGTTAGTTTTGATCACAGATCCAGATGATTTCTTCATTCATTTAGGCCAGATCGGGTCAGGTCAGGTCAGGTCAACCATTAGGCGTCCTACCGGCTATCCATAGTAGGTGTCAACTACCACTGACGGCGTCGTATATATACGACGTATATTCGTGACATGCTATAGCATGTCACGAAAGCACTAAAACTACTTCGTAAACGTTCAAATGGATGCTAAATTCGAAATCAGCCCTATAAACTACCCTAGAAACATGTAAAACTCGAAAAAGTGAACCGAGGTCATCAAAGGTCAATGACCTGACCTGACCTTCAGGTTATCTTCACACCCACCGTGATGCATGGGAAGAACATCATTTCACATGTTTGGACGTCTACAATCACAATAAGACTGGAAACGCGCGGATAATGTGAGCTGACATACGCCAAATCGCGATTCCGGCCGAACATGGTCTCGAGAATCAGGTCACAGGTCAAAGGTCCTTTGGGTCAGGGTCATGAAATTTCTAGAGTAGGTGTAAAACTGATCAACTCGAGGGTACTAAAAGTTTCTTCGCGATCGGCCGCTTTTTGCGCGAGTTATTTGCGAACAACCATGGGGGGGGGGGGGTTCATCCGACCTCCGTACACATGCGAGGGTCAATGCTTCCAAATGCACTTATCGGTTGGTACCTTTTCGACATGGTATTATTGCTTCCAAATTAAGCTTGATCCTCACTTCGCTCCAGTACTGCATGTAGTGAATACCCTACCGAAGACCGAGTTTTACCGAGATACCCGGCCGGCGAGCCGTGCGATAGACCAGAGGTTTGACATCCGGGGCCTTGTGTCATCCGGGAGTTTCAAACGCGCGGGTAGGGATGCGGACGTGACCTGTGGTCGGTCAGCGTTCTGCGATTTTGGCCTCGGGCGTCTCTGACGTCAGAGGCATGACCCGGCGCTCGGGCGCAGCGCCCGGCGAGAGACGGGCCGCGCGGTCGCAACCGGGTGCAGCTGGACGCGCGATCGGAACGGAATTCAGCCAGGACCCGCATCGTAGGTCAAAGGTCAAGGGCACATATGGCCGGCGGGCGAGACCAGCGGCCGAAACAGCAGTCGCTGTGAGGCGAGGGCAGTGATCCGACGCAGGCCCGGGCCTGCACGGTTTCTGATAATGTTTTTTGCTCTACTGCGGGGTGCTAAAACAATAATGTCAATATAATCTGAACATGTACCTATTATAAATATTTATCAGATAATTATTAACCCGCGCCAAGCAGGTGCTCGGTGCCAACCACCTCGCCCCCCCCCCCCCCTTCCCCTAACTCGGCTCCTGGGCCACGTATGCGACACGTGGTAAGCGGCATTCGAAAAGCTCGAAAATATAAAGAAAAGCTATTGTTTGCTTGCTTCGTGCAATTGGGAAAAATTATGTCTGAGAAAGCACTCTCCTCGGCCAGCGACGTCTAGGACATAAATTGATTCCCCGCTTCAAAAAATGTGAAAAGGTTTAGCATAAGTCCGTGTAGCACTTAAGTTGCCAAGCGTGCCAAATATTTTCTCATCCGTAACACGCCCATCCAGCGCTCCCCACCCGATCATCGGCCTGACCACTGCACTGTGGCGCTCTCATCATCCCTGATTGGATAGAATGTGACCCAGCTATGCGTCAAGCTCACGTGCCCGCCATTATCACAGGTCACACCCGTGTCCCTGCCCCAGGCGCGGATTGACAGTCACAAGGTCCACGCACTGCTTCAGTCTGACACGCACCTCATCGGGACAGCTACCCTGGCGATACGGGAGGGGTTCGGGAGGGTATTCAATGCAGTACTAGAGCCAGGCGCGAATCAAGCTTAATTTGGAAGCAATACACCTTTTTGCGTTGTTCGATGGCCTATCAGCAAAAACCATTCGTCCGATCAGCACATAGGTGGCGCCAGTGAGAGGCATTCCGGCAAAACCTTCAGCATATGGGCAAAACGGAATGCTGATCCCACTCCACAGTTCGTCAGTTGGTAAAACATTGGCTATTCGCCATAACTGATTGAATTCCGGCAAAACCTTTGACGATTTGGATAAATGCTTCGTCATTCAGTAACAACCCTTCGTCGTTCGCCAAAACATCACCATGCTAATTTCGGCATTCATCATAACATTTCGTCAAAACTAAAAACAGATCGCCCCTTTACAGAGAAGTATAAATATGACTTATACAGTGCAGTGCGAGGCATATGTAGGTTGTTGTTGTTGTTCGTCCTCTCGGCGTCTAGCGACGCGAAGCCTCGCGGCTTAGCATCCCTCTGCGCGCGGCCGCCATGGCCGCGATGTAACTTGTGCTCCTTGCAGTCTCTCTGGTTGGGGCGTGTATGCTTCCCGTCAGGCGGAACCGAAGCCCCATCTGCGCTGGGCACCGCAATAGAATGTGATCTGGGGTGTCGGCTTCCTCCTTACAGAGTGGGCAGAGGGCTCCGCCGCATGCTCGTTCATTGCAGGCGTCGCACTGCCGTGTGGGGCTCTTGCCGATGCGATGCAGGTACTGTTGCGACCCTGACCAGTGTCCGGCTCTCAGCTGGTGGACGTCGATAGCCGTCAGACGGTCCAGGCCAGACACTGTGGGTGGGCGCGTTGTCCCCATCAGGGTTCGGAACCAGCCTGGGGGTCGCTGCTCTCGTGTGCGAGCGTCCGCCGCTCGCGCCGCTGCTCTATGCACTGTGCGCGTGTCCACCGGTACCTGCTCTTGGGGGAGAGATGCCGCCTCCTTGGCTAGGCTGTCGGCCATCTCATTCCCAGGCAGCCCGCAGTGGGACGGGACCCATTGAAGGCGCACCTGCCGCTCTCCATTGTCGGACACCAGGGCCAGAGCGTCCCAGACAGCTCGGTTCAGCTGCGTCCTTTGCTCGGCCGGGCCACTCCGTAGGGCAGATAGAGCTGCTTGCGAGTCGGTACACAGTATGATGGGGTCCTCCTCATGATCAGTGTGGTTGCCGATGTAGTTTAGTGTCTCGCGGAGTGCCACCATCTCCGCTCGGTAACTCGAGCAGAGCTTGCCCGCTGGTGCGCGGAGCTCGTGGCTCTCCCCGTCGGGCCACTCGATATAGCCGCCCGCTCCACCGTCCAGCACTCCTCCCGTGGCGGATCCGTCCGTCCAGGCCCAGGTCGCGCACTGGGGGAGGGACGCCAGGTGCAGGGCGGCCGCCTGTCGGCGGGTCTCCGCGGACGCTCCGGAGGGGGGTGTGGCTCCTATCCCCAGGTCAAAGACCACCGGGGGGGCCTCCTCCCACGGGGCGACGCTGGGCGGCAGCACCGGCTCGATCGGGGCCACGACACCTGCCATGTGCCAGGCCTCCAGACCCACCGTGCGCCAGCCCGTCACCGCCTTCAACCGTGGGTTGACGGTCGCGTCCGCTACTCGGCGTAGTGGGTCCTCTTCTGGGAGGGCTCTTGCCTTCGCGAGAAATCGCGCCGCCAGGGTGGTTTTCCGGGCCGTCACCGGAGCCAGTCCTGCCTCCGCCATCAGGGCTTCGGTGGGGGTTGAGCGCGTGCAGCCCGTTATGACGCGGGCGGCCTCCCTCATCTCCCTCTCCAGTACTTCCACGTGGGAGGGGGACGCGGCCGGTAGCCACGCAGCGGCGGCGTGCTCCAGCGCGCCTCTGACGTAGCCGTTGGCCACGATGCGGAGTTGCCGCTCTTCCAGCCCCCAGTCCCTGCCCGTCAGTCTCCTGAGGTGTTGCAGTCTCGGTCGGGTTCTCTGTCGCATCCTCTTGCAGTGCGGGCCGAAGTGGAGGAGGCGATCCAGCGTTACTCCGAGCAGGTTGAGAGTCTCGCGGGCCTCAACTCTCGCTCCAGCCACCCTGATGGACAGGTCCACTGCGTCCTTCGGCCACTGCGAGAGCACCAGGACCTGGGTTTTCTCTCCCGAGACGACCATCTTCGATGTCCTGGCCCATCTTGTCAGCGTGTCAGCGGCTTGCTGGGCTCGGTGTCTGGCCGTCTCGATACTCGCACCCGCGCACAGGGTTGCAGTGTCGTCGGCGTACATATAGGGTGTGCATCCTTGGATCGCCTTGAGGGAGTGTGCGAGGGGTGCCGCCCACAACAAAAACAAGAGCGGGGACAGGACGCTACCTTGCGGTAGGCCCGCCCGAAACACCCGTTCGCCACTCTTCACTCCGTTCACCTCGACGGCGACTTGTCGGTCTCGGAGCCACTGCCACGTCCACTGCACCATGCAGCGCGGGAGTCCCAGCTCTAGCAGTCTCAGACGTAGGAGGCGATGGTCCACCACGTCATAGGCGCGCGCGAAGTCATACGCGACCAGGACGTACTTCTGGGCGGTGGTGCCTTCTGGTGGGTCTGCACGTCTGGACGTCAGGCATATGTAGGTGGCGAAACTTGTAGGTCATTTATCCACATAAGAATCGGTAGCTGTTCATGAGCGCCATAGGTACAATGCACATGGACGTAGCTGACACGATATCGACTGGTTGAACAATGAACAGGCAACAACAGAGCGTTTGATAAGTCCACCCCGCCTCAAACAAAGGTGTTGGGCGGTGGGCCGGCCGGGCCCGGCTCGCCATCTGTCAGCCGTTCCCCGCGAGTCCGGCCGGCGAGGCCGCCCGAGGCGTCGTCCCATGACATCGCTCGGACAGTGACGCGATAATGACGGCCGACTTCGTGGTTTGTATCCGAAGGTTGGGACTTTTCAATTAAGACAAATCACTATTCTTTAGAATTGTGATTTTCTATTGAAAATCCCAACCTGAGCTACCTCTCTAGGGGGGTGTTTAGCGTTTCTGCCGCGATTTGGGTCATCTTGATACCCTCGAAAACGGATAGTTAGATTTTCTTGCCATTTTCACCGTTTGGTCCCGTGTGGGGGAGCTACCTGCTGGCAAAGTTACAAAAAATATAATTGACACGTTTTGGGGTAATCGGCACGTGCATTTTCCCATAGGGTTAACATGGGGGAAAATTTAAAATGCGATTTGCGGAAAAACTCCACGTTAGAAATGAATTATATTTTTAGGGTCGAATCTCGGGCCGGGACCCCACTTCATGGTGGTAATTATTCAAAATATAAATGACAAAATTTCGGGTAATCGGGACGGACAGTTACCCCATGCTAAGCCTATGGCGATTTCGAAAAATTATTTTCAAATCGATTTTGCAAAAAATTTCCACGTTAGATTTTGAAAATGTTTCAATATGTTGTGCCCCGGGGTGTCGGCTACCACATGGTATGGGTCAGATATGGGGCGATTGAAAAGCACGTGCCACGTGCAAACGTGTTTGATGGGGGAACCTCCAGGAAAATCCGACATTGGCCAGCTTGGGGCCCTATGGCTCCGAAACCACTCCACCCAGCGACACCAAATCAGTGCAGCCGGTGAGCAGACGAGTCCAGCTTGTCGCACCAGTGATCACGTGGCGCACGTGCTATTGCACGTGCCGTGGCACGGGGTCAATTTTGGTGCTTAAATATACTAGCATTGTGAAATGCAAGGAATGGGGGAAATAGCCGTCAGGCCGTCAGTTTTTATGATAGGGTCGATCTGAAAACGGGTATAGACACAGAATGAAGGGGGCTAAAAAACTGCTATCTCGGATTTTGTGTAAAATGAAAAATTCAAAATTCTGGGGAAATTATATATTCGAAAGGTGAAATTTCACTAAATTTTCCCGTTTTTCTAGTTTAGCCGTCCACTGTTCAGGGACGGTGACACCGGCCGGGGTCATCTTTTATATGCTGATGGCCACGTCGATGGGTCATCACGTGGCGTGAACGGTGAAGCTATGAAAGGTCCGGCACGTGTCACGTGGCCACGTGTTTGTGTCGCGTACCTCCCAGATTATCGTGTTTTTGCCGATTTGTGGCCTTATAGCACGAAAACAGCACAAGTCAGGAACACTGAAATGGTGCAGTCAGTGAGGGGACAAGTCCTGCTTGCACCACCGGTGGTCACTTGGCACACGTGCAAATCTGGGCACCTCCGTTGCGGAGATATTTTATAGTGAAATATTCAAATGTACATAACTTTTTCAGTTTAAGTCCGATTGGGCTAGAATTTGGTGGGTGGATGAACTGTTAAGCGACATGAACGAATGCGCCATGTTTGTTGCAGTGCGCCACGTTTGTCTCAAAGCGCCATTTTTGCCGCAAAGCGCAGAATGTGCGCAACTTTGTCGAACATTGGACGATTAGGATGCGCTGTAATTAAGGGATGGCTGCTTACACGGCAGATATGAATGTACCACATATGCCGCAGGGCGCCATATTTGTCTTAATGCGTCAGTGTTAGCGTTTTGCCTACGGCGGGCGTTTTTTTTGCGGCGGTGTTTGCGTTTTTCGGGGTTTGCGTTTGACGGCGGGCGGCCGTTTTTGCGTTTTTGGCGGTGTTTGCGTTTGGCGGCGGGCGGCCGTTTTTTGCGGCGTTTTGCGGTTGGCGGCGGGCGTGCGTGCGTTGCGGGCGTTTTTTTTGCGGCGGTGTTTGCGTTTTTTGCGGTTTTTGTGTTTGGCGGCGGGCGGGCGGGCGATGCGGGTGTTTTTGCTGTTTGCGTTTGGCGGCGGGCGGCCGTTTTAGCGGCGGTTTGCGGCGGGCGGCCGTTTTTTGCGTCGTTTTGCGGTTTGCGGCGGGCGGCCGTTTTTTGCGGCGTTTTGTGGTTTGCGGCGGGTTGCCGTTTTCTACGGCGTTTTGCGGTTTCCGGCGGCCGGCCGTTATTTGCGGTTAGCGGCGGGCGGCGGGCGGTCGTTTTTTGCGGCGTTTAGCGGTTTGCGGCGGGCGGCCGTTTTTGCGGCGTTTTGCGGTTCGCGGCGTGCTGCCGTTTTTTGCGGCGTTTCGCGGTTGGCGGCGGGCGATGCGGGCGTTTTTTTTGCGGCGGCGGTGTTTGCGTTTTTGCGATGTTTGTGTTTTGCGGCGGACGCGCGTTTTTTTGCGGCATTTTGTGCGTTTTTTTCTGCGGTTTTCGGCGGGCGGGCGATTGTTTTTTTTTTGCGAAGTTTGCGTTTGCGTTTTGGGCGTGCGTTTTGCGGTGTTTGCGTTTGGCGGCGGGCGGGCGGTTTTTCACAATTAAAGTCCCAACCTTCGGATCCGCAGTGCTGTTCGACAAGCGCTGCCCGGGCCTATCCGAAGGTTGGGACTTTTCAATTAAGAACAATCACTATTCTTTAGAATTGTGATTTTCTATTGAAAATCCCAACCTGAGCTACCTCTCTAGGGGGGTGTTTAGCGTTTCTGCCGCGATTTTGGACATTTTGACAGGGAAGAAAACGGCACGGTAGAATTTCTTGCAATTTTCAGCGTTTGGTCCCGTGTGGGGGAGCTACCTTCTGGCAAAGTTGCAAAAAATATAATTGACACGTTTTGGGGTAATCGGCACGTGCATTTTCCCATAGGGTTAACATGGGGAAAAATTTAAAATTCGATTTGCGCAAAAACTCCACGTTAGAAATGAATTATATTTTTAGGGTCGAATCTCGGGCCGGGACCCCACCTCATGGTGGTAATTATTTAAAATATAAATGACAAAATTTCGGGTAATCGGGACGGATAGTTACCCCATGTTGAGCCTATGGCAATTTCGAAAAATTATATTCAAATCGATTTTGCAAAAAATTTCCACGTTAGATTTTGAAAATGTTCCAATATGTTGTGCCCCGGGGTGTCGGCTACCACATGATATGGGTCAGATATGGGGCGATTGAAAAGCACGTGCCACGTGCAAACGTGTTTGATGGGGGAACCTCCGGGAAAATCCGACATTGGCCAACTGGGGGTCCTATGGCGTGGAAACCACTCTACCTAGCGACACCAAATCAACGCAGCCGGTGAGCAGATGAGTCCAGCTTGTCGCACTAGTGGTCACGTGGCGCACGTGCTATTGCACGTGCCGTGGCACGGGGTCAATTTTGGTGCTTAAATATACTAGCATTGTAAAATGCAAGGAATGGGGGAAATAGCCGTCAGGCCGTCAGATTTTATGATAGGGTCGATCTGAAAACGGGTGTAGGCACAGAATGAAGGAGGCTAAAAAACTGCTATCTCGGATTTTTTGTAAAATGAAAAATTCAAAATTCTGGGGAAATTATATATTCGAAAGGTGAAATTTCCCTAAATTTTCCCGTTTTTCGACTTTAGCCGTTCACTGTTCAGGGACGGTGACACCGGCCGGGGTCATCTTTTATATGCTGATGGCCACGTCGATGGGTCATCACGTGGCGTGAACGGTGAAGCTATCAAAGGTCCGGCACGTGCCACGTGGCCACGTGTTTGAGTCGCGTACCTCCCAGATTATCGTGTGTTTGCCGACTTGTGGCATTATAGCACGAAAACAGCACCAGTCAGGAAGCCTGTAATGGAACAATCGGTGAGGGGACAAGTCCTGCTTGCACCACCGGTGGTCACGTGGCACATGTAAAAATCTGGGCACCTCCGTTGCGGAGATATTTTATAGTGAAATATTGAAATGTACATAACTTTGTAAGTATAAGTCCGATTGGGCTAGAATTTGGTGGGTGGATGAATTGTTAAGCGACGTGAACGAATGCGCCATGTTTGTTGCAGTGCGCCACGTTTGTCTCAAAGCGCCATTTTTGCCGAAAAGCGCAGAATGTGCGTAACTTTGTCGAACATTTGACGATTAGGATGCGCTGTAATTAAGAGATGGCTGCTTAAACGGCAGATATGAATGCACCACATTTGCCGCAGGGCGCCATATTTGTCTTAATGCGTCAGTGTTTGCGTTTTGCCTACGGCGGGCGTTTTTTGCGGCGGTGTTTGCGTTTTTTTTCGGTGTTTGCGTTTGACGGCGGGCGGCCGTTTTTGCGTTTTTGGCGGTGTTTGCGTTTGGCGGCGGGCGGCCGTTTTTTGCAGCGGTTTGCGGTTGGCGGCGGGCGTGCGTGCGTTGCGGGCGTTTTTTTGCGGCGGT